ATAATATTAATAAATAGTTATTATTCATAAAATATTTCTCTTCTTAAAGAAATTGTATTAAAGATGGAGACTAACAATGAATATAGTAAATGAAGTAGAAAAAAATTGTTTATAACATTGAAAAATTAAATAATAAACAATTACAGTAAGTGTGCATTAGATTTTCATATTTTAGTACCTAACGAATGGAATCTAGAAATATCGCAAACCTATGAAAATAAACAAAATTGCTGACGAGGGGATTCGAACCTACGACCTACGGACTTACAGACTAACGCTCTAACCACTATGCTAACGACACGTGTGTACAGAAAAGTATTAATATCTCAGTATCATTCAGACATACAATTATTGAGTCAAAGATGAGAAAAAAATAGGGATACGTTAGAAATAATAAATTGAAATAAAATAAATTAAACTAAATTTTTAATAATTAAATTAAATTACTTTACTTATTGCATTTAACATTTTACGTAATTCTTAAATTACGTCGTAATTTTTTAATAATTTTTTATTCATAGTAAGAAGTATAATAGTATCTTAATGGGAACCAAATTATTATTGAGATTAAAGTTTAAATTTTGTTTATAATTTTAATTTGTTTAAATAATTTATTATTTACAAAATTAGACAATTGTGTTAAATTGTTATTATTAAATTTAATAAGAATAAAAAATGAACAACTGAAAAGTAAAATATTAATTTTTTTCAATAAATTTATATTTATAAACATTTATAAACTTTTTTTATAATTTTTTTCAAGTTTATGTCAAAAAAGCAATGTTGGCAAAGAGCGTCGTGAACAATTTTTCTATGCTCAGCCAGCACTTGCCGCCGTGGCTTGTCCAAGCTTTGGCGAAACAAAAATTCTGTACTGCGCCAGCACTAATTGTCGAGGCTCGGCTAGACTACGCCGAACAATCGTCTGAGTACTAAGCCAGTGGTGAACATCGGCACTACACTGGCATTTCCCATTGGGAATCGATCAAAAGAATTCAATTATTTTCAAAAAAATTTATAATTGAATTTTTTGTAAAATTGAATTATTTTTAAAATCTTTTTATAATTCAATGATTTTCAATATCTACTATATAATATAAATATAAATATCATTTATCTATTTATTACATTTGAAATAGTAAAGTTGACTAATAAATTATTAGAAATTACTATTTATAGTAAAATGTACTATTTTCAGTATTTGCTAGCAAATTTGACTAATAAATTAGTATAAATTACTAATTATTACTAAAATGAACCATTTTCACTATTTATTAGTCAAATTTACTAATAAATTAGTATAAATTACTAATTATTACTAAAATGAACCATTTTCACTATTTATTAGTAAATTTGACTAATAAATTGGTAGAAATGATTATTTATAGTAAAATGTACTATTTTCAGTATTTGTTAGCAAATTTGACTAATAAATTGGTAGAAATTACTATTTATCAGTAAAATTGACTATAATTAAAAAAAAATGATTGAAATGTAGAATAAAAATTGTTGTCGACGACTGTACATTGAAACAACAATGTATATATATATATATATATATGTAAGAAACGCCGCGTAACGTTACTGTGAGTTGTCTATTATTATATCTATAAAAAGAGTCTCAGTGTCATATGTACACGGAAAACGCTATATAAAGTAAAATTGTGTGAGTTTCATTACCTGTACACATTGTTTCTATTTGATAATTCCATAAAAGAGATCAGGCAACCATGGAGGCACGAGCGATTCACTTGTAAATTTTTATATTCTTCAACTTTATATATTTTGTATATATTTCTCAAAGAAAGAAAAAAAATTTTAATTCAATTTTATTCGGATCATTTGTTCCGGTGAATTATTTTTATTCTCCTGCGAGTGAAAGAAAATAAATAAATAAATAAATAAATAACTTTATCTTGCAATAGTGAGTGGGAAATTTTTTTTATTATATTTTCAAATAATTCGGGAAAATTTCCCGAATTATTAAAAATATAGTAAAAAAAAAATCTTTTAAAGAATTTTAATTCCTGTGGAAAAATAATAATTGAATATTTATTTAAAAATGAAGTTATTAATGTTTTCGAATTATTTTCTCACGAATTTTCTGCTACGAATTCAAAATTTAAGGCGGGAAATTCAAATTAACGGTCTTTTTTTCTACGAATTTTCAGTCATAACCTCAAAATTTCTGGCGGGAAATTTAAATTAACGGTCTTTTCTTCTACGAATTTTCAGTCATAACCTCAAAATTTCTGGCGGGAAATTTAAATTAACGGTCTTTTCTTCTACGAATTTTCAGTCATAACCTCAAAATTTCTGGCGGGAAATTCAAATTAACGGTCTTTTTTTCGACGAATTTCCAGTCATAACCTCAAAATTTCTGGCGGGAAATTCAAATTAACCGTTTTTTTCTACGAATTTGTGGCATAACCTCAAAATAAAGGCGGGAATTTCAAATTAAGCCTATTTTTTATGAATTTCCCGCCATAAATCCAGAATTCTAGGCGGGAAATTCAAATTTAGTTGATTTGTTCAATTATTTTTTAATTGAATATTCGAATAAATATTAATTAATCCTTAATAAATTACTATCTCTTTTTCTTCATATTATAAACTAATTTTTAAATTATTAATTTATTAAATTATTAAATATTAATAATTTATTTAAATACTAATAACAATTTTGTTTATAAAAATAGAATAATATATAATAATTAATTTATAATTTGAATTCAATTAAAAAATATTGATAAAATAATAATATTTATTAAAATATTAATAAAATAATAATATTAATTAAAATATTAATAAATAATTTTTCACTGAAGAAAGAAGAAAAAAAATTTTTTTTTTTTAAATTTAATTATCTTTGACTCCTTTTTTCATTATAAAGATCGGTCACTCCTGATTATAAAAATGAGGATAAACACGCGAGGAATTTATGTTTAATTTAATTCGTGTACAAAGAACGATACAAAACTTGTCTGTGCGCGGTTATAGAGGAAGGAAAACGCACGCCTACCGTAGATATGCAAAGAAAATTAAAAATAATAACCGGTGTTTATCTCTCTTGTTTTTCCTTGAACGAAGAGAAGATTGAATGCAAAGAAAAAAAGAAAAACAAGAAATGCACAAAAAAAACCGACGACTCGTTATTTACAAATCAAGTTCAAGAGAATTTACAATAAAATTAAAAAGGAAAATTTAATCTTTCCTTTCATACACAAAGTATATGAGAATTTTTTTCCCTTGTTTATTGATAACTAAAGAGAAATAAGGTGATTTTTCTTTTTCTTTTTTAAAAATTCAAAATATTTTCACTGAAGAAAAGTGTGAGGCAAATTTTAAATTACGCGCCGTTTTTTCTAAACAACTGTTTATGGCGGGAATTTTGAAATTTGAATTTTATAAAAATAGAAATACTACGAAAAAGAAGACGAGAAAGGCAAAAGGCTAAAGAGAAAGGGAAGGGGTCTTTTTAATAAAAGTTTAAAATTTCAAATTTCACTGAAGAAAAGTGCGAGGAAAATTCTAAATTAACCGCCATTTACTTTAAAAATTATTAACGGCGGGAATTTTGAATTTCGTAAAAAGTAAAATACTTCCAAAAAAAAAAGATGAAGTGGGGGGAAAGAGGTACTTTAATCATTTTGACTCTAAAAATTAAGGTAAATTTTAAATTTCCCGCCATTTTTGCTTAAAAATTATTTTTGGCGGGAATTTTGAAATTTAAATTTGAAAAAAAACTAAAATACTTACAAAAAAAAGATGAATTGGGGGAAAGGAGTACTTTTTAAACATTTTTACTCTAAAAATTTATATAAATTTTAATTTTCCCGATATTTTTTTAAAAATTTATTTTTGGCGGGATTTTTGAAATTTAAATTAAAGAAAAAACTAAAATACTACAAACAAAAAAGATGAATTTGGGGGAAAGACCAACTTTTGATCATTTTCACTTTAAGAATTTATATAAATTTTAATTTTCCCGACATTTTTAAAAATTATTTTTGGCGGGATTTTTGAAATTTAAAATTAAAAAAAAAAAAACTAAAATACTACAAAAAATGTAGAAGTGAGGGAAAGAGAAAAATTTTTAATAATTTTTGCTCTAAAAATTATGGTAAATTTTAAATTAACCGCCATTTTGCTTAAAAATTATTTTTGGCGGGAATTTTGAAATTTAAATTTAAAAAAAACTAAAATACTTACAAAAAAAAAAAGATGAATTGGGGGGAAAGGAGTACTTTTTAAACATTTTCACTCTAGAAATTGAAATAAATTTTAATTTTCCCGATATTTTTAAAAATTATTTTTGGCGGGATTTTTGAAATTTAAATTTTTAAAAAAACTAAAATACTACAAAAAAAAGATGAATTGGGGGGAAAGACCAACTTTTGATCATTTTAACTTTAAGAATTTATATAAATTTTAATTTTCCCGACATTTTTAAAAATTATTTTTGGCGGGATTTTTGAAATTTAAAATTAAAAAAAAAAAAAAACTAAAATACTACAAAAAATGTAGAAGTGAGGGAAAGAGAAAAATTTTTAATAATTTTTGCTCTAAAAATTAAGGTAAATTTTAAATAAACCGCCATTTTGCTTAAAAATAATTTTTGGCGGGATTTTTGAAAAATTAAAAAAATAAAATACTACAAAAAAAAAATGAAGTGAGGGAAAAGGGAAAAATTAAAAATTTGACTTTAAAAATGAAGGTAAATTTTAAATCACCGGCAATTTAAATTAAAAATTATTTTTGGCGGGAATTTTGAATTTTGAAAAAAGAAAAAACTAAAATATTTTAATAAAAAGATGAAAGGAGTGGGGGAAGTATTGAAGAAAAAAGCACTAAATAATAATTGTTAAATATATTTTTTTAAATTAATAATATTGTTAATAAAAATTTAATAAAAAAAAAAAAATACGAAATTTTATGGAAATTTTTTTTAATTCCTAAAATTGAACATTGAAATAAAAATGAATTTTTTTTTGTTTCAGGCCAAACAACGTGCCTCCGTAAAATGGCTCTTATCGAAAGCGTACAGCAATAATGTCCCGATTAAACTCCGGGAGCCATATTATCGAGATCATGAGGTAAATATAATGGCATTTGTTTCCTATTCAATAAAAAAAAAAAAATTTTCTAAGGCACGAAAATTCAACTGTGTCGTCTGCCTTAATTTTCTTTTTTTTTACAAAAAAAAAATTTTTTTTATCATTTTAATTTTCAAAATTTTTAATAATTAATTTAAAAAATATTATTTTTTAAATAATCTAATTAGTATTATTTTTAATACTTTTTTAAATAATCTTTTTACTAATTAGTATTCTTTGAAAATATTTTTAAATAATTAGTTACTAATTAGTATTCTTTGAAAATATTTTTAAATAATTAGTTACTAACTAGTTTTTGTTTAAAAATTTCGAATTAGTTACTAATTAGTATTATTTTAAAATATTTAAATTAATTTGTTACTAAGTAGTATTATTTCAAAACATTTGAATTCATTATTTACTAATTAGTATTCTTTGAAAGTATTTTTAATTAATTAGTTACTAATTAGTATTGTTTTAAAATATTTGAATTAATTAATTACTAATTAGTATTTGTGTAAAAATATTCGAATTAGTTACTATTTAGTAGTATTTTAAAATATTCGAATTAATTTGTTACTAATTAGTATTACTGGCAAATATTTGAATTAATTAATTACTAATTTGTATTCTCTAAAAATATTTTAATTAGTTTTTAATTACCATTATTTCAAAACATTCGAATCAAATTATTTACTAATTAGTATTCTTCGAAAACATTCAAATTAAATTTTACTAATTAGTATTCTTTGAAAATATTTTTAATTAATTAGTTAATAATTAGTATTTACATCAAAATATTTGAATTAATTTCTTACTAATAAGTATTCTTTGAAAATATTTTAATTAATTCTTTTTGTCAGTTAGTAATTTTTTACTAATTAGTAATAAGTATTCCAGTATTTGAATATAATACCTACTAATTAATTTTATTACAAAATGTTTATTATTTAGAATTATTAATTGGTATTATCACCAAAAAAGTTAGTAATTAGTATTCTCGTATTTAAAGCAATAACATACTAATTATAGTACTAACTAATTAGTATTACTTCAAAATTTTCGAGTTTATTAGTTAAAAATTATTCTTACAATAATTTATTCATCAAATCATTCAAATTTATTAGTTACTAATTAGTATTATTATCAAGCTACTGATTTATTAGTTTCATTATAATTTTTTATTTTCTTTTTTCAGTTTTTCATTAGAGTTATTAATAAATTAGCTAGTAATTTGTATTATTTACAAATTTTGTTAGGGGCTAATTAATATTGTCAGCAAAATAGTTTCTAATTAGTATTCTTTAAAAAATTTGTAAAGAATTATTATTATTATCAACAAATTAGATACTAATTAGTATTATCAAAAAATTAGTATTATAAAAAATTAAATACTAATTATTTACTAATTAATATTATCATCAAACTAGATGCTAATTAGTATTATCAACATATTATTCACTAATTAGTATTATCGTCAAATTAGTCACTAATTAGTATTCTTTGCAAATTAGTATTATAATAAAATAAATAATAATTAGTATTCTTTGCAAATTTATTATTATAAAAAAGATAAATTACTAATTAGTATTATCAACAAATTTGTTTCTAATTAGTATTATCAACAAAATATTCACTAATTAGTATTTTTTTTAATTATTCACTTATTAGTGTTCTTTGCAAATTAATACTATAAAAAAACTAGTTAGTATTTAGTATTATTTTTAAAAATAGTTACTAATTAGTATTCTGTCAAAATTAGTTACAAATTAATGTTATTAACAAATTAGTTACTTATTAGTTTTCTTTTCGAAATTAGTTAATATTTTTCATTATCAACAAATTATTTACTAATTAATATTATCAACAAATTTGTTACTAATTAGTATTATGAACAAATGATTCACTAATTAGTATTATTGTCAAATTAGTCACTAATTAGTATTCTTTGCAAATTAGTATTTTAAAAAATTAAATAATAATTAGTTACTAATTAGTATTATTAACAAATTGGTCACTAATTAATATTATGAACAAATGATTCACTAATTAGTATTATTGTCAAATTAGTCACTAATTAGTATTCTTTGCAAATTAGTATTTTAAAAAATTAAATAATAATTAGTTACTAATTAGTATTATCAACAAATTAGTTACTAATTAGTTTTTTGGGCAAATTAATTACTAATTAGTATTATCGACAAATTAGTCACTAATTAGTATTATCGACAAATTAGTCACTTATTAGTATTATCGACAAATTAGTTACTAATTAGTATTCTTTGCAAATTAGTATTATAATAAATTAAATAATAATTAGTTACTAATTAGTATTATCAACAAATTAGTTACTAATTTGTTTTTTTGGGCAAATTAATTACTAATTAGTATTATCGACAATTTAGTCACAAATTAGTATTCTTTGCAAATTAGTATTATAATAAATTAAATAATAATTAGTTACTAATTAGTATTATCAACAAATTAGTTACTAATTTGTTTTTTTGGGCAAATTAATTACTAATTAGTATTATCGACAAATTAGCCACTAATTAGTATTCTTTGCAAATTAGTATTATAATAAATTAAATACTAATTAGTATTAACAACAAATTAGTTATTAATTGTTATTATAAACAAATTAGTTACAAATTACTATTATCGCCAAATTAGTCACTAATTAGTATTCTTTACGAATTAGTGTTATAAAAAATTAAATAATAATTATTTACTTATTAGTATTATTAACAAATTAGTGAATAATTTGACTATAATACTAATTAGTGAATAATTTGTTGATAATACTATTTAGTGAATCATTTATTTATAATACTAATTAGTAACTAATTCGTATTCTTTTGCAAATTAGTATTATCAACAAATTAGTTACTAATTATTATTATAAATAAATTAGTTACTAATTATTATTATAAGTAAATTAGTTACTAATTATTATTATAAATAAATTAGTTACTAATTAGTTTCATCAACAAATTAGTTACTAATTATTATTCTTGGTAAAATTAACTGCTAATTATTTTTTTTAAATTAGATACTAATAATTTAGTTACCCCTTATAATGATTATAATTCTAATGATTATAATTATTATTTATTATATTAATTATAAAAATAAAATGAACATTGTAATTAGATTAATGTCAAATAGAAAAAAATAGTTCAATTTGTTTATTTGATTATTATCGATTATCTCCTTTTTCTATTACTTTTTTTTGTAACAAAAAAAAAACTGAATGGAGAAATAAAATAGTAACAGAAAATTTTTCCTATTATAATTCGTTTTATTTTTATCTATATATCTTCTTTTTTATTAATTGGTATTTGATGACCAAATTCATTCATATCTATATATTTATTAATAGACGATAATAATACAGTACAATATGTCTATGGAAAAAAAGCAGTTAGGAAATTAATAGCTCTTTTAGTGATAAAAGGTTTTTAAACTCGTCCCCAAGAACCAAGAAGTTGGACGTAAAATATATTATGATGCCGATAATGATAATAATAATAATAATAATGGAAAATATGGGTGTGTTTATAAATGTGTACAGTGAAAATCTCATGTGTGCGCGGCGCAGTGGGTCGCGTCCTTGTTTCCCATTCGACAAGAAAACTGGGATCGTGAAAGTCACGAAGATGGCTGTAAAACCACCTATTAAATACATTCGGAATTTAACTCACGTGTCTTTCACACAACTTTTGGACTTTCAATTTTTTTCTTCTTTTTTTTCCTTATTTTTCATTTTCTTCTTTTTTTTCCTTATTTTTCATTTTCTTCTTTTTTTCCTTTTTTTTCTTATTTTTCTTAATTTTTCTTTTTTTTTTACTTTTTGCATTTTTTTTCTGTCTTCTTGGCAGAATTAAAACAATTTTTTCGATAGTAAAATGTCACTCAATTGGGACTTTTTTTCTCAACTTATTTTTGGATTTTTTTATTTGTTTATTTATTTACTATTTTGCAATATTTTTTAAATATTTATTTATTTATGTATTATTATTATTTTATTATTTTTTCCCTCGTAGATTTATTTATTTATTAATTATTATTTTATTGGTACTTTTTTCTTAGCGGATTTATTTTATTATTATTTTTTCCCTTGTAGATTTATTTATTTATTTATTTATTTATTATTGTTATATTATTATTAATTAAATTTTACATTCATCGATTTTTTAAACTTTCATTGTTTATAATTTTTTATTTATTTATAATATTCAATTATTGATTTTTTAATATTTAATTATTTTGATGTTTATATTTTACGCTTTTATTTATTTTAGTTATAGTTATAAATTTTTATTTAGAATAATTGATAAAAATTTTCATTCAACATTGGTGGGAATCGAACCCCTTACCCTCCTCCTAGATCGTGAGCCTAACACCCAACGCTTAACGACCACGACCATCGCTCACGTCTTTCTTATTTCATATATTTCCTTTTTCTTCTTTACTGATAATAATTGTAAATAATTAGAAAATATTTATTAGTTAATAAAAATAAGAAGAATATTAATTATTTATTAATTAAAATAATAATAATAATAAAAATTATAATAATAATAAAAATAATAATAATAATTAGAAAATATTTACTAGTTAATAAAAATAAGAAGAATATTAATTATTTATTAATTAAAATAATAATAATAATAAAAATTATAATAATAATAAAAATAATAATTACAAAATATTTACTAGTTAATAAAAATGAAAAGAATATTAATTATTTATTAATAAAAAAAAATAATAATAATAATTAGAAAATATTTACTAGTTAATAAAAATGAAAAGAATATTAATTATTTATTAATTGAAATAATAATAAAAATTAAATAAGAAAAATAGTAAATAATAAAAAATAATGAATGAATTATTGTGTTTTGCTGATTTTGGTTTTTATTTCGCAGGATCAAGAACACCTGAAACCGCAAATTGTTCAAGCACTTTCCAATGCGGAACTCTATTGTATGGCATTGGCCAGCATTTATTCTGACCCGAATTACAACAATCAGAATCATTCGGGAATTCTCCAGGCACTTGCCCGTAAGGGCGTTTTTGTTTCGGAGCCAAATAACACCCAAATCACTGAGACGATCCTCATACAAAATTCGCCGCTCAAAATGGTAACTGGAATAAATTAAATATTAATTTACTTCTATATAGTGAATTTGGAAAAATAAAATTTTTACTCAGCTGAATTTTTAATCAGACAAATTTTTATTTAGCTGACTTTTTACTCAGATCAATTTTTATTTAGCTGAATTTTCACTCGATTGAATTTTTATTTAGCCAACTTTTTATTTGGCTAAATTTTTAACTAGCTGAATTATTATTTCACTAATTTTTTTTAACTTGGCTAAATTTTGACTTTGTTGATTTTTTTTTTTTTTTTTTTTTTTTTTTTTTTTTTTTTTACCTACATTTTTACTTGGCTAAATTTTTCCTCAACTGAATTTTTTATTTAACTAAATATTAATTATTAAGTCAAAATAATATTTATTAAAAGTTCAGCCAAATGTCTTAAAAAAAGACTAAAAGAAAAATTCGACTCACAAAAAATTGCCTAATAAATAAATTCAAAATAAAAGTTGACTTAATTGTCTGATAAATAAATATTTGTTATAAATAAAAATTCAGCTAAATATAAAAAATTCCACTACTTTTGATAAATGAACTAAATAGAAATTTTGGCAAAAATAAAAATTACACGAAATAAGTAAATAAATTTTTGATAAAAATTATTCGGAGCAATTCAATTATTTTCAAAACAATTTTAATAAAATTTCTCCAAAGAATACAATTATTATTATTCAAAATATTCTTTAAATTCAATTATTTTCAAGAATTTTATTATAATTTAATTATTTTCAAGAATTTTATTATAATTCAATTATTTTCAAGAATTTTATTAAAATTCAATTATTTTCAACATTTTTCATGAAATTCTTTTTTAAAAATCAGTATTTTCCAAATTTTTAATAAAATTAGTTCAAAAAAAAAAATTCAATTATTTTCAATAAAATTTTAATAAAATTTCTCAAAAGAATACAATTATTTTTAAGAGTTTTAATAAAAATTGAATTATTTTCAACAATTTTGATAAAAAAAAATTCTTCGCAACAATTCAATTATTTTTATAAATTGTAAAATTCTTGATAAGAATTCAATTATTTTTGTAAACAATAAAATTGTTCTGAGAATTTTTACAAGATTTTAAAAAAAAAAATAATTGCAATTGTCGAGGAAATCAAATTAAAATTGTATCTGAAAATAATTGAATTTCTCGGAAGAATTTTGATTATTTACAAAAAATAATTGAATTCTTGCCAAGAATTTTACAATTTATAAAAATAATTGAATTGTTTCGAAAAATTTTTTATTAGAATTGTTGAAAATAATTGCAAAATGAACAAAAAAAGCAAGCAAGTTTTCAAAAATAAAAAGAAAAAAAAGGCAAATTTTTGTAAAAGAAACTCTAAAGAACTTAAATTTTCTCAAATAAAGCAAAATAAAAATTTGAATTTTTCTAAATAAACCTAAAAAATTAGAATTTTGTAAAATAAACAAAATAAATTCAAAATTCTACATGGGAATATTGAATTTTCCAAAATAAAATAAAAATAAATAAGAAAAAAACTAAACTTAACTAAAAAAGTCTAATTTTTTAAAATAAAGCCAAAAAAAATTGCATTTTCGAAAATAAACAAAAAAAAAGTATCAAGTTTTCTAAAATAAAAGGAAAAAAAAATTCTAATTTTCAAAAGAAAATTTGGTGTATTTTACAAAATTCTTATTTTTTTCTTTTCTTTGGAAAATTAAAGTTTTTTGAAGTTTCGTTTGGAAAATTTGACTTTTTTCGTTTTATTTTAGAAAATTTGACTTTTTTTTTGGGTTGATTTTAGAAAATTCTAATTTTTTGGGTTTATTTTCGAAAATTCAACTTTTTATTGGCTGTATTTTAAAAAATTCAATTGTTACGAAGAATGTAAAAATAATTGAATTCTTGAATTGAATTTTATTAAAAGTTTTTTAAATAATTGAACTCCAGTGAAAAATTCAATTATTTTTTAAAATAATAATTGAATTTACTCGGAGAATTTTTACAAGATTTAAAAAAAAATAATTGAAATTAAAATTTTTGTTGCTTTATTTAAAAAAAATTCGAGGTCTTTTTGTATTTATTTTGGAAAATTCAAGTTTTTTTTAAGTTTCTTTTGGAAATTCTACTTTTTTTATTTTATTTTACAAAATTCAATTTTTATTTTTGGAAATTTAATTTTTTTTGGGTTTTTTTTAAAGAAAATTTCAGCTTTTTTGGTTTGTTTTACAAAATTTTTATTTTCTTCTGTTTATATAAAAAAATTCAAGTTTCTTTTTGTTGTTTTCAGAGTTTCTTTGCAAAAATTTATTTTTTTTTTTGTTTTATTTTTGAAAATTTGATTATTTTTTGGGTTTATTTTAGAAAATTCTAATTTTTTCGATTTATTTTGGAAAATTTCATTTTTTTTATTTTATTTTAAAAAATAGAGCTTTTTTTGATTTTATTTTTGAAAATTCAAGTTTTTTAAAAATTTATTTTGAAAACTTCGATTTTTTTCGTTTTGTTTTAAAAAATTAAATTTTGCTGAGTTCATTTTAGAAAATTCTTATTCTTTTTCTTTATTTTGGAAAATTCAAAATTCGAGGTTTTTTGAAGGTTTTTTTTTGGAAAATTCGACTTTTTATTTTAAAATTTCGAAATTTAATTTTATTAAAATTCTAAAATTCGATTCATTTCGTTTTATTTTAGAAATTAAAAATTTTTTTTCTTATTTTGGAAATTCCAGTATTTTAGAGTTTCTTTAGGAAAATTCGGCATTTTCTTTGTTTATTTTACAAAATTCTAATTTTTTTTTGGCGTCTATTTAGAAAAAAACAAGTTTTTTTTTTTTTGCTTCGTTTGAGAAAATTAAAGTTCATCAGAGTTTCAAATTTGACTTTTTTGTGTTTTATTTTAGATATAATTTGATTTGTTTTTTTACGTTTATTTTAGAAAATTCTAATTTTTTTGGCTTCATTTAAAAAAAATTCGAGTTTTTTTTAAGTTTATTTTGGAAAATTCAATTTCTTTTGGCTTCATTTAAAAAATTCGAGCCTTTTTGAGTTTATTTTGAAAAATTCAATATTTTTTTTTGCTATAAGAAAATTAGAGATTTTTTTTGTGTTTGTTCTAGAGAATTAAATTTTTTTCTGTTCTCTTTTTAGAAAATTCGAGTTCTTTTAGTTTTTTTAGAAATTTTGGCAATTCTATTCTTTCGAGAAATTTTATTAAAATTGTATTGAAAATAATTGAATTTCTTTGTAGAATTTTATTATTTATGAGAATAATTTAGTCAAGTTTTTAAAAATATTTTTAAAAATTTATTTATTTAGTTCATTTATTTATTTAGTATTTTTACTGTTTTCTTTGTCAAAATTAAAAAAAAATTCAAAGAGAAAAAATTTTCCTAGAAAAAAATTGGCTTAATGAACAAATTGACTAAGTTACTTGATAAATAAATATTTGCTTCAGTAAAATTGAGATAAAAATAAAGAAAAAAAATTTATGTAATTAAATTTTTGTCGAAATAAAAAATTATTCAAATAGAATTATTTAGAATTTATTTAGAAAAAAATTAGCTTAAAATAAAAAATTGACAAACTCATTTTCCAAAAAAATGTTTTTGAAATAAAAATTAAGCTAAAAATAAAAATAGAGTAAAAAATTTTGGCTGAATAAAAATAGTAAAATTTGTCCAGAAAAATTTGGCTTAATAAATATTTTTCCAAGTAGTAAAATTTATCTAGAAAAGAATTGGCTTAAAAAAAATAAAATAGTGACAAAAATAGTAAAAATAATAATAAAAAATAATAATTAGTTGATTAATTAATGAATAGCAAGAGAATTAATTTTTGATAAATATATTTCAGTCGGCGCACATGGCTGTGATAGAAGGACTAATGATACTCTACGCCAAGGAGGTGGTGATGGGCGAGCAGGTGGTCTCGGCGATAAGACGGTTCGACCCCCTGGCGAACGTGGAGGTGCCAGTGGACCACGAGAAGGGCCTGCTGCTCTGGATCAGCCACGCGTCGCAGGCGCTCATCGGGAAGATACAGACGGAGGAGGACGGCGCCGGCGACAAGACGCGGCTGCCCGAGCTGCCGACGGCGAAGGACTTCCAGGCGTTGTGCGACGGCGTGGGCCTGGCCGCCGTCGTCGCACTCTACTGTCCCGGCGAACTCAACTGGATGCAGATCCGCGTCTCGAAGAGGCCGTCGGTCGCCGATGCACTGCATAATTTGTCACTGGTGCACAGCTTCTGTTCTCGGTGCTTGCCTTATGCGATTTTTCATATGCAACCCGAGGACGTCACTTATATGCGAGGGTAATTGTTTTTTCCACTTTTGCATTTATTTTCTTATTTTCTTTTTTTTTTGTAATTCTTTATGTTTTTTTTTAAATTCGAATTTTTTATTTTGCTTTCCTTATAATGCTAATTCGATTTTTCCTTTGCGAAAATTCGATTTTCTTTTGCTTTCTTAAGGCGAATTTGATTTTCTTTTCTTTTATGTTAATAAAAAATTCGATTTTTCTTTTGCTTTATTTAAGAAAATTAAAGTTTTTTGAGTTTCCTTCTGAAAAAATTTTAAAAAATTTTAATTTTCTAAAATAAACTCAAAAAGAACCTCGAATTTTTTTAAATGAAGCCAAAAAAATTGAAAACTATTAGATTTTTCTAAAATAAACGCAAAAAACAAATCAAATTTTTTAAAATAAAACGAAAAAAAGTCGAATTTTCCAAAATAAACTCAAAAAGAAACCTCGAATTTTGAATTTTCCAAAATAAACTCAAAAGAGCATGAATTTTCTCAACTGAAGCAAGAAAAATTTGATTTTCCAAAATAAAGCAAAAAGAATAGAAATTTTCTAAAATAAACTCAAAAATAATTTATTTTTTCAAAATAAACCGAAAAAAATTCGAATTTTTTAAACTATGTAAAAGGAAAAAATTTAAATTTTCCAGAATAAACGTAAAAAAAATTGAATTTTCCAAAATAAACTCGAAAAAAGCTGAATTTTTTTAAAATGAAGAAAACAAAAATTAAATTTTCCAAAGTAAAGCAAAAAAATTAGAATTTTCTGAAATAAACCAAAAAAAGTCAAATTTTTCAAAAGAAACTCTGAAAAAAACTTTAATTTTCTCAAAAACAGCAAAAAAAAAAAAATGGATTTTTTCTAAATAAACCCAAAAAAATTAGAATTTTGTAAAATAAAACGAAAAAAGATGAATTTGCTAAAAAAAATTAAAAAACTTGGAATTTCCAAAATAAACTTCATAAAACCACTAATTTTCTTAAATAAAGCCAAAAAAATTTTCAGTTTTCCAAAATAAACAGAAAAAAATTTCAATTTTATAAAACTAACCCAAAAAAAATCGAATTATCTAAAATAAATCGTAAAAAAAGGAAAAATTTTCCAAAAGAAACTTTAAAGAACTTTATTTTTCTCGAATAAAACAAAAACTAACTTAAATTTTTCTATATAAACACAAAAAAATTAAAATTTTGTAAAATAAAGCAGAAAAGTTGAAATTTCCTAAAAAAAAACACAAAAAGAACTTGAATTTCCAAAAAAAAAAATTGAATTTTGTAAAATAAAATAAAAAAAGTCTAATTTTTCCAAAAAAACTAAAAAAAATTTGTATTTTCCAAAATAAACTCCAAAAAAACTGGAATTTTATTAAATAAAGCAACAAAATTTTTAATTATCCAAAATAAACTTTAAGAAAGCTCGAATTTTTTTAAATAAAGAGAATAAAACACTGAATTTTCCAAAATAAACAGAAAAAATGAGAATTTTCTAAAATAAACCCCCAAAAAAAAATCAAATGTTCGAAAATAAACTCTAATGACCTTTAATTTTCTTAAATAAAGCAATGAGAAAACTTAAATTTTTCTAAATAAACCCAAAAAAATTAAAATTTTGTGAATTAAATCAAAAAAGAAAAAATTGGAATTTTTTAAAATCAACCAAAAATAGACGAATTTTTCTAAAGACCGTTTAACGAACTTTAATTTTCCAAAGAAAAGAAAAAAATAAGAATTTTGTAAAATAAACTAAATTTTCTTTTGAAATTTAGAATTTTTTTCGTTTTATTTTAGAAATTTTTTTTGGCTTTATTTTAAAAAAATTGACATTTCTTTGAGTTTAGTTTTTATTTTTTTTGTTTATTATTATTTTATTTTGGAAAGTTCAAAATTTTTTTAATTTATTTTAAAAAATTCGATGCTTTTTTGAATTTATTTTGGAAAATTAAAGATTTTTTTGCTTTATTTAAAAAAAAAATTCGACGATTTTTTGTGTTTTTAAAGTTTTTTTTTAAAGTTTATTTCGAAAAATTCGACTTATTTCGTTTTATTTTAAAAAATTGAAAATTTTTTTCCTTTACTTTGGAAAATTCAAGTTCTTTATAGACTTTCTTTAGAAAATTTCAGTTTTTTTTTGTTTATTTAACAAAATTCTACTTTTTTTTGTTTATTTTACAAAATTCTAATTTTTTTTCGGTTTACTTGGAAAAATTCAAATTTTTTTTTTGCTTTATTTGAGAAAATTAAAGTTCTTTAGAGTTTTTTTTAAAAGGAAATTTGCATTTTTTTCGCTTTTTTTATAAAACTTGATTGTCTTTTGGGTTCATTTTACAAAATTCTACTTTTCTTCGGTTTATTTTGGAAAATTCATTTTATTTAAATAGAAATAGAATGAAATAAAATTCATTTTTAATTTTTCTATAAAATATAAATTTAAATAGAAAATTCCTATTTTTTTAAGTTTCTTTTGGAAAATTAAATTTTTCTTGCTTTATGTTTGGGAAAATTTATTTTCTCTATAATTTCTTTTGGAAAATTCGATTTTTTTTCGTTTTATTTTAGAAAATTCGAGTGTTTTTTTGGATTTATTTTGGAAAATTTTAATTTCTTCCCGTTTGTTGTGGGAAATTCTACTTTTTTAGGCTTTATTGTAAGAAATCCGACTTTTTTGTATATTATTTTAAATAATTTTTGTATTTTTTGGTTTATTTTAGAAAATTATAATTTTTTGAGGGGATTTGTTCTGGAAAATTAAAGTTCTTTTCTTTATTTAAAAAAATTTATGGTAATTTTTGCATTATTTAAGAAAATGTACTTTTTTCTTTCTTTCTTTACTTTTGCTCTTTTTACTATCTTTTAGAAAAATCGAGTTTTTTGGGTTTATTTTAGAAAATAAAAATTTTTTTCCGTTTGATTTGAAAAATGTAGGTTTTTTTTTGCTTCACTAAGAAAATTTGAGTTCTTTTAGTTTATTTTTGAAAATTCGCCTTTTTTTCTCTCTTTACGAAAATTACTTATTTTTTATTACTTTATTTAAAAGAAATTCGTGTTTTTTTGTTATATTCAAACAAATTCGACTTTTTTTTTGTTTTGCTTTGGAAAATCAGAGTTTTTTTTTGCTTTACTTGCAAAATTTTTTGCAGTTTCCAATTTTTTTTCAATTATGTAAACAATTTGCGATTTCTTTTAGGTTTTTTCTCTAAAGTTTTTTGCTAATTTAATTTTATTTTCATTCATTTTTATTATATTTGTATGCTTTATGTAAGAAAATTCTAAATTTTTTCTTGATGTATTTAAAAAAATTCAATTTTCCTTTGCCTTATTTATTTGAATTCGATTTTTTTTCATTATAAAAATTCAGTTATTTAATATTTTTGTTTCTATATTAAAGAAAATTCAATTCGCCTGTTAATTTTATTTTAAAAAATCCGTTTTTTTTTCTCTTTTTAATTTTCTTTTTTCGTTTATAAACTAATTTTTTTCTATCTATTTAAACGAATTGAATGTAACTTTTTTATTTATTTATTGTATTCTTTTTTTTTCTTTTTTTTCTATTTATTTATATATTTATCAAAATAATAAATTTTTCTGAATTTGAAACTAAAAAAACCATTTTTTCTTTTAGATCAATGAAACAAAATCTGGTGGTTTTTCTCGCTGATATGTACAATGCTTTGGAACTAAATTCAGCCGAGTGTGTACGTTATCCTGGTAAAGAAAGAGCTCATCAATTTGTAGATGGTAAGCACGTTTCTTTTTTTAAATTGTCGCATATATAAAAATTATTTAATTTCAATTCTTTATTTTTATCGAAATGAGTTTTAAATTTTTGTCTTTTTTTTATCTTTTAGAATACTTTTTAACGAAATTTTTCAGCTTTGTAATTTTTATTTATTTGTTTTTTTTTTTGTCAAAATTTATTCGTAATTTTTCACAAAAAAAATATTTTCTTTTTTGTTTATCATATATTTAAAAAGTATAAATTTTTTTTTCTCGAAATTATGTTTTTTATTTTGTTTTTCAATAATTTTTGAAATTAAAATAAAAAGAATCTTAATTTCAAATAAGAAAAATTATAATTATAATTAAGAAATTTCTAAAATTAAAAAACAAGTATGATTATTGTAAATTAATTTTTAGGACAATTTTACTTCTTTTAGGACAAATAATAAATTTGGCTGAAAAAAAAGAAAATTTGTAAAAAGTAGAGATGTTAAAATAACAGCAAAAAAAATGTGGTGGCGGAATTTAATATTGGTGAAGGCTGACGCATGTTTTTTTTTTGGAAAAAAACATTTCTTTTTTTATTATTTTTAATCTTAAGGGAAATTACATTTCTTCTTCTTTTGTAATTTATTTCCTTTCTTTATAATTTCATTCATGGAATTACGTTTTAATGGCAGAACGATCAATTTTTCTGGTTTATTCCCTTTTTCTCTCTCTCTCTCTCTCTCTCTCTCTCTCTCTCTCTCTCTTTCTGTTTTTTTTTTTTTTATTAAACGATTGTCTGCAATTAAAACGGCATGAAATGCTTTTTATCAGTAATCAATACGCACAAATAGTCAATCGTTTTTATTCCACGTGTACCGCTTCTCGAATAATTCTAAATTTTTCTTTTTTGCGCGGAAAATTTCAAAAATAAAGAAAATTTTAAAAAATTATTTTTGCTGTTTATAATTTAAATTTTTTTCTTTTTTCAAAAATTTTTTTTTCTTTTGTTTCAACCTTTGTTTTTTGAAAACAAATTTTTTTAATTTTTTGAAACACATTTTATTTTATTAAAAGGACATTTTTCTTTTTGAAGAGACAAATTTTTCGATGATCCATTTTTCATTCTTTTAAAAACACAGATTTTAATTTTTTTTTCAAAAATAAAATATTTTTAGTATTATCTTTCTTTTGAAAGAAATTTTGTTTACTTTTTTTTTTTCTCTTTTTGAAAACAAATCATTGGATTGGTTAATTTTGCTTTTGGAAATAAAATTTATTTTTATTATTATTTTTTATGAAACAAATTTTATTTTTCCCTTGGAAATTAATTTTTTTTATTATTATTTATATTTTTCCTAGAAAACAAATTTCCTTTTTGGAAAATTTATTGTTATTGTTATTTTTTTATGGAAATGAATTTTATTTATTTTTATGAAAAACACACATTTTTCGCGCGAAAAAAATTTGTTTTTATTTTTCTATTGTAGATTATTTTTTTTTTTTTGTGTATATATTAATCTTGTCGATGCTTTGCCAAAGTTAAAAAAAAGGGAAAAAAACCACCTTTTATAATATTGTAGTTAATTAAAAATTTTTTAATTGAAAAATTCTTTTTTTATTTTTTTTTCTTTTTATATATATTTATTGTTTTTTTTTCTTTGACGTTAATTCTCTCTCTCTCTAAATACGGTTTGAAAAATCTTTGTTTCCTGATTTTTCACTCGGGTTGTGCAGCCTGTCCGCGCAATATTCATGGCGTAGCTCATAAACGAAGCCTACCGCAGTCTGTCACTCCGATTCCGGATCTGAGAAGCAACCTCTCCGTATCCGCGCCAGGTTTTACAGGTATCCACTCCTTTCGAATCAAGAAAATCGAAAGAAAGAAAGAGAGAGAAAAAAAACATTCTTTTTCTCTCTCTCTCTCTCTCTCTCTCTCTCTCTCTCTCTCTCTCTCTCTCTCTCTCTCTCTCTCTTACTCTCTAAATCGAGTTCAGCGTCATTTTTTTTTTTTTTATTCACCGCGAATAAAATGTTGTTCCATCTTTTCCACTTTTCGAAATTTCTGCATTTTTCTTTTTTTTCTTTTTTTACATATTTATTTTGTTATCTATTTGTTTATTTAACTATTTATTTGTTTACTTATTTATTCATCTAATTATTTTTGTATTTATTTATTTCTTTAATTGTTTGTTTAATTATTTATTTGTTTAATTATTTATTTTTTTATCTATTTGTTTATTTCAATATTTATTTGTTTAATAATTTATTTATTTGTTTTATTATTTATTATTTTATCTATTTGTTTATTTATCTATTTATCTGTTTACCTGATTTATTATTATTATTATTATTATTATTATTATTATTATTATTAAAATAATTTATAAGAGTCGAGAGAAAAAAGAATTTTCGAAAATTGGATTTTTTGGAAGTGAAAATAATTTTTGAGATCTGATTGCATGAAATTAACAATTATTATTGTTAATACATAATTGAAAAAAAGCCTCGCTTTTGTCATTAGTTTTGAGCTCTTTTTTTGTTTTTGGGTTTTCTCGCAGTTTTTCCTCTTTTCTTTTGTCATGTTTTGCACTTTATTCTTTGTTTTTGCACGTTTTTGTATTTTTCCTTTCTAATTACTATTTTTATTTCTATTATTTTCACATTCTTCTTTTCTTATTTTTTTATTTTATTAATTTATTTTTTCATGACATTTATTTTGTATTTATTTTCTTATTTTTATTTATTTATTTTCTATATTTATTTTTGTTTTCTATTTTTTTTTAATTACTTTGTTTTCAAATTCAACTTTTGTTTTTCATTTTTTTAAAATTACTTTTTGTTTTCAATTTCTACTTTTGTTTCCTATTTTTTTTTAATTATTTTTGGCATATATTTTTATTTTCGTATTTTATTTTCATTATTTATTTATTTATTATTTTATTTACTTATTTTTGATTTGCTTTAATTCCTTTTTCTTTTTTATAGAATAGAAACTTTTTCCCTTTTGAAAACGCATGACCCGAGTAAAAAAAAAAGTAAAAAGAAAAGAAATCTCATTTTTTTTTTTTTGCATTCCATATATTAATTATTTGAGGTACACTCAGTTTTTTTTCTGTTGGTTTCCTCTTTATTTGCAAATATTATTTTCAAAAAAAAAATATATATATATATAGTAAAAATTTTTTTTGGTTTGTTTTTATTATTGGGAATGTAGGAAAAATATTAATTAGAACTAAATTGGTAATTAGTTATTTTAACTATAATTATTAATTGTTAGAGAAATTTAGTTATTTATTATTGTTGTGAACTAATAGATTAAAATAAATTAATTAACCTTTGACTTACAAGTGAATATTTAACTATTATTTTTTTTTATTCAATTTGACAAAATTAATTATTAACCAAAGTTAAATAATTTTAATTTTTTTGAATTAATTTATTAAATACTAATTAATGAAAATTAACAAAATAATGATCGATTGTTGATTGTGAATAAATCATTTTTATAGTATTTTTGTTATTAGTGTTTTGGTTTTTATTTATTATCTAAATAAAAATTATTATTATTATTTTAATAATAATAATAATTATTATTATTTTAATAATAATAATTATTATTATTATTATTACATAGTTATTATAATTATTAATATTAATTTTGATTTGTATATAGAAACTACTAATTCATTTATTTGTAATTGTAAGAAATGTAAATAATTATTAAAAGTGACAAGTATTTATTCTTTTTGTTTTTGAAAAAAAGCACCTTTATTTATTTTATTTATTTAGTAATAATAGAATTTTTTTGTAGCGTGTAGTTCAGAAAGCAAAATTTACCAAAATTTTTAACATTGTTTTTGTAATTTGTTATTTTAGTTCCAAAACCATTGACGACAATGACAGTGAAGAAGTCACAATCCTTGCAACAAACTGCCGAGAGTCATTCCTTCCAAGACAGGTTTGTTTCAATTTTAATATTAGAAACTAATTTTGTTTCATTTTATTTATTTTTTTTTGTTTTACATTTTTTTTTTTTATCTACTTCGTTTATTTTATTTCACATTTATATTATTTTCAATGCAATTTTAATCAAATTTCTCGAAAGAATACAATTATTGAAAAAAATATTAATTAAATTCGATTATTTTTAACAATTTTAATACGAATTCAATTATTTAAGAAATTTTAATTAAATTTTTCCGAAGAATTCAATTTTTTCAAAAATAAAACTTTTCACAAGAATTCAATTATTTAAAAAAAAATTTAATAAAATTCTTCGTCAGATTTCAATTATTTTCAATTTTTCAATGAAATGTTGTCGATGGAATTTAATTATTTTCAAAATGTTGTAAAAAATTCTGAGAAATTCAATTATTTAAAAAATTTGAATAAAATTCTTCACAAGAAATTAATTTATTATCATAAATAATAATATTTTTCTCCGGAATTCAATTATTTTCAGAAATGAAATTCTTCACTGGAATTCAATTCTTTAAAAATGTTTTTAATAAAAAATTCGTTGCAAGAATTAAATTAGTTTTATAAATAACAATATTTACAGCAGAGTTTCATTATTTTTTATGTACAATTTTACATAAACTCTGATAGAAAATTGCATTTATTCTTTATAATTTTTTTGAAAATTCGCCGAAAGAATTCAATTATTTTTAGAATTTTTTATAAATTTCTTTTAAAAAAATTCAATTTTAAGAAATATTCAATTATTTAATACATTATTTATCTTTGCATTTAAATAATTGCAATTAAAAAAGAAAATTAAATTTTCGTGGCAACCCTGATTGTAATATTTTTGAAAATAGAGTTTTTAATTTTTCTTGCTTCTCTGTTTGTAAAATATAGAAGAGGCGACGAAAGTTTTGTCGTGCATCGAATGAAGGGCGTGCCAACTTTGAGTTCGGTAGCCGATGAGAAGAGTATCGCGAGAGCAGAAGCCGCCGGTCGGCCTAGTAATTGGGAAGATCAACGACGAACTTCCTACGGAGGCAGACGCTCTAGGAGGAACAGCGTTTCCGACGATTCTCAACTTACAATTGAAAATTTTGGCGGATCACAGGTGAAACATTTTCGCATCAATTTTTCTATTTTTTAAACTATTTCTTTTCTCTTCTGTTTTTTTTCTTCCCAATTTTATTTATTAAATTTGTAAAATATTTTTAAAAAATAGTTGAAAAATATTTTAAAAATTATTAAAGAATATTTTTAAAATAGTTAAAGAAAAAGAGTTGATAATAGTTTAAAAAATAGTTGAAGAAAAAGAATTGATAATAATTTAAAAAATAGTTGAAGAATATTTTAAAAATAGTTAAAGAAAAAGAGTTAAAAGTAATTTTAAAAAAATGTCTAAACAATAGTTTGAAAACTAAAACTAGTAAATAACAAAAATAATAGCAAAAGAAAAAAAAGAATATTGACAAAATTTTCCTTAAATTTTGCAGGACAACATTCACAATTTCGGCAGGAATCCGGACAAGGAAATGGGCGTTGTGACAATGGGAAAGAGAATAATTGCCGAGCCAACATTACCGGCGCGCTCCAGCGTTCAGGACGTCTATGGAAGTGGAGTTCAATTAATTTTGTCCGACAATGGTTACAACAATGACGAACAACAACCATTTTCACGTCTTCGTCGTCATCCCTCAAATACGAGTCTCGATTCGGTTGCATTGAAAAATAGTCCATCGCTGGTGCAACATTCGAGTAGGGACAACAGTGAGAAAGTTATTGATAATAATGAGCCGACAATGACGACATTGGCGTCAGGCGTCACCGATTCAATGACAAAACTCGCGAGTTTTGCAAATTTAAATCGACAGAGTTCGGAGAAGGGCATCAATTTCAATTACATGGAACAGGAGCGCGAGCAGGAGGCGGCGGCGGCGGCAATTGTCAAGTCGAATATCGCCAATAAGAAGCATGGGCAAACTAATGGCAATGGTTTTGCTGAGAAGAAGACGACTTTTGCGACTCTGCCGAATACAACCACGTGGCAGCAGCAGAGCAGTCAGCAGAATCAGCAGAGCGAGAGTCATTCTGGTGGTGGGTTTTTCGATGTTTTCCTTATTAGGATTCTTATTTTTATTTTTCACTTTTTTCTCTTTTTTCTCTTCTTTTTCCATTTTTCCACTATTTTTTCTTTTTTTCTGCAGGGTTGCCACAGGTCAGGGAAATCAGGGAAAAGTCAGGGATTTTTATTTAAGTAACTGGAAAAAATTGAATTTTGGAGAAGTTACAAATGATTGCAGAAATTCAATTATTTTCAAAAGTCATCAAATTTTTCGCAGAAATTCAATTATGTTCCAAAAATTAAAAAAAATTCTCATAAAAATTCAAATATCTTTAAAAATAATTAAATTCTTCTTCAAATTTCAATTATTTTCAAAAAAATTTTCTCAATTCAATGATTTTCAATATCTACAATTTTAATAAAATTTTTCAAAAGAATTCAAAAAAAAAAAAAATTTTTGATAAAATTCCAAGCAAACTTTGCAATAATTCAATTATTTTCATAAATAATAACATTTTTTTACAAAAATTCAATTATTTTCATGAATAATAAAATTCATCATAGAATTTCAATTATTTCTAAAAATTAAATATAATAATCGCTGCAAGAATTGAATTATTTTCATAAATATTAAAACTATTTTTAAAAATTTTAATAAAATTCTTTGAAAGAATTATTCAATTTTTTTAAAAAAATTTTAATGAAATCCTTTATAATAATTAAATTATTTTCAATATTATTTTAATAAAATTTTTTGAAAGAATTGAATTATTTTCATAAATAATATACAATTTTAAAAGAAATTGAATTATTTAAAAGTTAAAACACAATATTCATAAAATTTTTTGAAAAAAAATGATTTCTTCAAAAAGATTTTTTAAAATTCTTCTCAAGAATGCAAATATTTATTGAATATAATTAATTATTAATTTGAAAAATTTTATAAAATTCTTCACAAAAATTCAACTATTTAAAGAACATTAAAAAATGTTCTTCTCAAGAATTCAATTATTTTCAAAAATTTAAATAAAACTCTTGTCAAGAATTCAATTACTTTCATAAAAATATATAAAATTCTTCTCAGAAATTCAATTATTTTCATAAATATAATATAAATTCGTTGCAAAAATTCAATTATTTCAAAAAATTTGATATAATTTATTTCTTAGATTGTAATTATTATTTTCAATTCATTTTCAATTACATTTCTTGAACGAATTTCATTATTATCAAAAATTTTAATGCAATTTTTCGTAAAAATTCAATTATTTTAAAAAAATGTTGATAAAGTTTTTAATAAGAATTCAAATTTAAGAAATATTCAATTATTCAATAAATTATTTATTTTTGTTTTTAAATAATTGAATTCTTGTAGAATTTTCCGCAATAAAAATTGATTTAAAAATTAATATTAGTTAAAATTTTAGATAATAATTGAATATTTAAAGCATTATAGCATGAATTTTTAAAAATACATAATTGAATTCTTTCGAAGAATTTACTTAAAATTGTATTAAAAATAATTGAAATCCTGTGAGGAATTTTATTAATTTATGAAAGTAATTGAATTCTTGCGATGAATTTTTTCAATTTTTTTTTTAAATAATTGAAATAATGTAAAGAAGCTTATTATTTATGAAAATAATTGAATTCCTGTAATGAATTTTATTACATTTTTTTTTAATTAATTGAATTCTTTTGAGAACTTTTATTAAAATAGTAGATTTCGAAAATATTTGAATTTTAACGAAGAATTTTATTATATATTCGTGAAATGTAATTAAATTCTTACAAAAAATTTAAGAGAATAATTCTATTTTTCTAGGAATTTACTTTAAATTGTATTTATAAATAATTGAAATCCTCAGAAAAATTTTATAATTTACGAAAATAATGGAATTCTTACAACGAATTTTATCAATTTTTTTTTAAAATAATTGAATTCATGTGAAAAATTTTATTACTTGTAAAAATAATTGAATTTATGCAACGAATTTTTTTTACATAAATTTAAAAATTTAATTATTGATGTTTGCGAATAATTTTACAATTTAAGAAATTCGTAAGTAAATGTAATAGAATTTTTTTTTTGAGTATCTAATAATTTTTGGAGTGAATCAGAATATTCTTTATGGTCAGGGAAAAAGTGAAAATTTTTTCTCGAAATCAGGGAAAAGTCAGGGAAAAATAAAATTAAATATTTGTGGCAACCCTGTTTCTACAATTTTTCTACTATTTAACTATTTTTAAAATTATTTTTTCTACTATTTCCTTATTTTTTGATTATTCTTTTTACTATGTTTCTATTTTTCTATTTTTTAATTATTTGTTCTATTATTTCTCTATTTTTTTCTATTTTTGTTATTATTTCTTTATTTTTTACACTATTTTTCTGTTTTTACCACTTTTCTATTTGTTCTACTATTTCCCTATTTTTTAATTATTCTTTTTACTAATTTTCCAATTTTTCAAATAATTCTCTTATTTTTCCTACTATTTTTCGATTTTTGCCACTACTCTTCTACCATTTTTTCTACTATTTCTCCATTTTTCAATTATTTCATTTATAAAATTACAATAGGTATTTTTTATTCTCAAATTTCAAATTTTTGAATAATTTCATAATTAAAATTTAAAAAATTCACATATTAAGTACATCATTAATTAGGTATTCAATTATTTTCCTAAAAAATAATAACATTCTTCGGAATTGAATTGAATTATATTAAAAGTTTTGTAAATAATTGAACTCGTGTGAAAAATTAAATTATTTTTTAAAATAATGTAATAAATTAATAAAATTTTTGCTAAACAATTCAATTGTTCTCAAAAGTGTGTGAAAAATTAAATTATTTTTTAAAATAATGTAATAAATAAAATTTTTGCTAAACAATTTAATTGTTCTCAAAAGTTTTTAATAAAATTCTTTGTAAATTTCAATTCTTTTCAAAATTTTCAATTAAAATTACTTTAAAAAATTACATTATTTTTAAGAAATTTAATGAAATTTTTCAAAAAAAAAAAAAAAAAATGTAATTATTTACAAAAACTCTCATAAAATTTTATAAAAGAATTTAATTTTCTATGAATAATTTTAATATAATTTAATAGGAAAATAATTGAATTCTTGAATAAAATTTTATTAAAACTTTTATAAATAATTGAATCCCTGCGAAAAAATTTATTATTTCTGTAAATCATTGAATTTTTGCAAAATTTTTAAAAAATAAGTAAATTTTTAACAAGATTTTTATGAAAATTGTATTTAAAATAATTGAATTCCAGTGAAAAATGTACTATTTATTGATATTATCGAATTCTTTCGAAGAATTTTTAAAAAAATGTTTAAAAATAATTTAATTTGCCCTGGAATTCAATTAAAATTGTATTTAAAATAATTGATTTCCAGCAACAAATTTCATTATTTATGAAAATAATTAAATTGAATTTTATTAAAATTTTGTTCAATAAATGAATTGAATTTTATTGAAATTTTGTTAAATAATTGAATTTCTGTGAAAAATTCAATTATTTTTTTAAACTAATTGCATTTTCTCGGAGAATTTTTATCAGATTTTTAAAAATAATTGAAATTTTCGAAGAAATCGATTAAAATTTTATTAAAAATAATTGAAATCCTGATAAGAATTATATTGTTTATATAAAAATAATTGAATACTTTCACGAAGATTTTTGTTATTTATAAATTGACTTTTTGCAAAGAATTTTATTACAATTATTGAAAATAATTAAATTCTTGATATAATTCAATTATTTTCAAAATTTTCAAGAAATTTCTTGTAAAATATTAAATTATATTCTATAAAAATTAGAAAATGTTTTAATTTCTTTATAAAAATTTAACTATATGTCAACTTTTAAATAAAATTCTTGAAATGTTAAATTTATTTTTATAGAATAAAAAAAATAATTTTTCAGAATTTTAAATACAATTTCTTTAAAGAATCAACTATATTCAAAAATTTTGATTAAATTTTTCGCAAAATTTCAATTATTTTCATAAATTTTTTTCTGAAGAATTAAATTATTTTTATAAATAGTAAAATTCTTTATAGGAATTCAATTATTTTCAAAAAAAAAATTTTAATATAATTTCACGAAAGGATTCAATTAAATTTCTTTCAATTTTACAGAAAATTTTTCAAAAGAATTCAATTATTTTCTAAAACTTCTATAATAAATTCTTGGAAACAATTCAATTATTTTTAAAAATAGTAAAATTCTTCGCAAGAATTAAATTATTTCTCTAAATAATAAAATTATTCACAGGAAATCAATTATTTTCAATACAATTTTAATAAACTTGAATAATAAAATATTAAATTATAATTATTAACAAACACGAATATTTTAAGAATTTTAACAAAATTCTTTATTTAATTGAATTATTTTCAAAATATCAAATTAAAATTATTCTAAAACTACAAAAGTTATTTTACAAAAAAAAAAAAAAAAAACACACAAAGAAATTCTTCAAAAGAATTTAATTATTTACAAAAAAATATTAAAATTGTTTAAAAGAGTTTAATTTTCTATTAATAATTTTAATAAAATTTTAACAGTTTTTATTAATAACAATTATTAAAAAAAATCGATTTTTTTTCTTAAAATTAATTAGATAAAGAATTCGAAATAATATATAAAAATGAATTAATTTTCAGACGATCCGAGCAACAATACAGTGATGGCGTCGCAATTAAATAATATTAGACTGAAATTGGAGGAGAAGAGGCGACACATTGAAAATGAAAAACGACGAATGGAAATTGTAATGTCAAAGCAAAGGCAAAAAGTTGGAAAAGCTGCATTTCTTCAAGCCGTCACTAAGGTATTTCTTTATTTTCTTTTCTTCTGTTTTTTGATGTTGCTATTTTTAAAAAGAAAATCGTGTAAATAAAACAAAAAAAAAATGAAGAAAAAAATCAATTTTTTTTAAAGTAGAAAAGTAAATAGAAAATTGCATGTGTTTTTTTGTTTACTTCTCTTTTAAAAATGCTGGCAAACTTAGAGTAATTTATTGCATGTCTTTATTTCGTCGTTTCACTTATTTAAACAAAATATAAATATTTAGTCTTTTTTTTATAGAAACAAACTAATTTTTTTTTTCTTAAACCAATTTTTGTATTGAAACTAATTTTTTTATAAAGTAATTTTTTCTACAAACTAATTTTTGTATTGAAACTAATTTTTTTATAAAGTAATTTTTTCTGTAAACTAATTTTTTGTATAAACCAATTTTTATATTGAAACTAATTTTTTTATAAAGGAATTTTTTCTATAAACTAATTTTTTGTATAAACCAATTTTTGTATTGAAACTAATTTTTTCTATAAACTAATTTTTTGTATTTAAACTAATTTTTTATAAACTAATTTTTTTGTAAATTAACTTCTTTTATAAACTAATAATTTTTTTGATTTTTTAAAAAACAAAATGCTTATTTTGACTAATAATTTGAAAACAATTTGTAAATAGAATAAATTAATAACTGAATTTTCTCTTATTAATTTCTGGGGGAAGGAAAAGTTTTACTAAATTTTTGCACTCTTCCGTTTTTTATTGTCCTAATTTTTTTTTTCATTCATTTCTTATTTGATTTGAAAAAAGAAACTGTCAAATTTTTATTTATTTCTTTAATTTTAATAATTCCTTTTTGTTAATTATTTTTCCAATTTAGAAAATCTCTTTGTTTACTATTTTTTTTTGAATTTGAATTTAAAAAATAAAGAAAAATAATTTGAAAAATAAAAAAGAAAGAAAAATAAAGAAAAATAGTTTGAAAAATAAAAAATAAAGAAAAATAAAGAAAAATAATTTGAAAAATAAAAAATAAAGAAAAATAATTTGAAAAATAAAATATAAAGGAAAATAATTTGAAAATTATTTTGCTACCGATTTTAAAGATTTTTTTTTTTTTTTTTTGTAATAAATCTAATGTTTTGTTATTTTTTATTTTTGGTGATGGACTTTGGACACTTAACGAAAAAAATGTCTCTGTTTTCTTTTTTGCACGTTGCTTGGGATGTGTGGTTACAGGGTAAAGTAAAATCACCCGCTTCATCGGCTTCTGGAGGTGATAGTCCTGTGGATGTGGGTCCTCCCAATCAAATAAATTCATGTTCTGTCGGTGAATCGCCAATTAACGCCGAGGCATCATCGATTCACCAACAAATTACACAAGACAAGCCTCAACGTCCCTTCTCACTCAAGGTAAAAAAATAAACGGGGAAAAAAAAGAAAAATTTCTAAATTTCTAAAACAATAAAAAAGGAAATTATTTTTTATAAACTGAAAAGAGAAAATAAAAAAAATGAATAATTAAAAGAAGAAACTAATAAGTTTTTTTCAATAAGGAAAGAAAGGAAATAAAAAAAGAAAATTAATAATTAAAGGAAGTATTTTTTTTTAAAAAGACAGAAATAAAAATAAAATAGAAAATTAATAATTAAAAGAAGAAAGGAATAATTTTTTTTAAAGAAAAGGAAGGAAATTAAAAAAGAAAATTAATAATTAAAGGAAGTAAGTAATTTTTTTTTTTTAAAGAAAAAGATAGAAATACAAATCAAAATAGAAAATTAATAATTAAAAGAAGAAAGGAATAATTTTTTTTTTCAAAGGAAAGGAAGGAAATAAAAAAAGAAAATTGATAATTAAAGGAAGTAAGTAACTTTTTTTTAAAAAGAAAGGCAGAAATAAAAATAAAATAGAAAAAGAAGAAACGAATAATTTTTTTAAAGAAAAAGAAACAAATAAAAAAGAAAAAGAAAATTTTTAAAATTAATAATGAAAAGAAGAAACTAATAATTTTTTTTTAAAGAAAAAGAAAGAAATAAAACAAGAAAATTAATAGTTCAAAGATAAAATTCAAATATTTTTATATAAATAATAAAATTCTTATCAGGATTTTATTTTCAAAACAATTTTAATTGATTTCTTCGAAAATTTCAATTTTTAAAAATCCTGTGCAAAATCTTCCGAGAAAATTTAATTATTTTAAAAAATAATTGAATTTTTCACACGAGTTCAATTATTTAAAAAACTTTTAATTAAATTCAATTCAAGAATTCAATTATTTTCATAAATTAAAGAAAATTTTCGCTGGAATTAAATTATTTTAAATACAATTTTTATTGAATTCCAGGGAAAATTTCATTAATTTAAAATATTTTTTTTAAATTCTTTGACAGAATTCAATAATGTCAATAAAATAGTAAATTTTTCACAGGAATTCGATTATTTTAAAATTTAAATACAATTTTAATAAAATTCTTCTCAAAAATTCACTTATTTTTTAAATTTTGCAAAAATTCAATTATTTGTAGAAATAATAAATTTTTTCTCATGAATTCAATTATTTGTAGAAATAATAAATTTTTTCTCATGAATTCAATTATTTGTAGAAATAATAAATTTTTTCTCATGAATTCAATTATTTGTAGAAATAATAAATTTTTTCTCATAAATTCAATTATTTGTAGAAATAATAAATTTTTTCTCATGAATTCAATTATTTAAAAAAAAAATTTAAAAAAAATTCTATTCAAGAATTCAATTATAATGAAATTTTTTGATTGAATTTTATTAAACATTTTAAAAATAAATTGAATTATTCGAAAATTTTTATTCAATCGTTTAAAAATAATTATTTCTTTGTAAATAATTGTATCAAAATTTGTTGAAAATGATTGAATTTTTTTTAAAATTCCTGAATTTTGATCGAAATCATTCAATATTTTTTAAAACAATTGAATTCTTTTGACAAATTTCATTAAAATTGTATTAAAAATTTAAAAATAATTGAATTCTTTAAAGAATTTTATTATAATTATTTTATTTTTTATTTTTTATTTTATTATTTTTTTTTATTTTATTCGTCCAAAGAATTTTAGCAAAAATTTTTTGAAATAATTAAATTTTTTAAAAGAATTTTACATAAAAAATTTTGAAATTCATTTAATTTAATTTGAAAGATTTGATTGAAACGTTCAAAAATAATTAATTTTTTGAAAGAATTTTATCAAAATGGTTTTAAAAATAATGGAATTTAATTTTAGAAAGATTAAAAAGATTAAAAGATTTTTATTACAATTCTTGAAAATAATGAAGTTTTTTTAAAATTATTTCTACTGATAATTTTGTAAATAATTAAAATTTACAGAGAATTTTATTTTAAAAACTTTCGTAAAAAATTTTGAATTGTTTAAAAAAATTTTATTACAATTTATTGAAAAATAATTGAACCTGTTAGAGTAATTTTATTAAAATTATTTTAAATATAATTGAACTTTTTCCTAGAAATTTAATTAAAATTGAATCTGAAAATAATTGAATTTCTCAGAAGAATTTTGATTATTTACAAGAATAATTGAATTCTTGCCAAGAATTTTGCAATTTTTAAAAATCATTATTTTAATTGTTTCGAAGAATTTTTTTTATCAGATTTGTTGAAAATAATTGAATTTATATTGAAACTCTTGAAAAGAATTGAATTTAAATAATTTTTTTTTAAAATAATTGTATTCTTTAGAGAAATTTGACTAAAATTGAAAATAATTGAATTCTTACGAAACATTTTATTATTTATGAAAATAATTGAATTCATTTGTAAATTTGATTATTTATGAAAATAATTGAATTTATTTGTAAATTTTATTATTTATGAGAATTTTTTAAATCTTTGCGAAGATTTTTCTTATTTATGTACGAATATAATTAAATTCTTGCCGAGGATTTTACAAATTCATAAAAATAATTGAATTTTTTTGAAGGAATTTCATTTTAAATTTTGAAAATAATGATTTTTTTAAAATGAATTTTATGAAAATTGTTGAAAAGCAAAAAGAAATTGAAAATTTCCAAAGTCGAAAAAGAAAAAAAGTAATTAAAAATTTTGAAAGTAGAAAAAGGAGAAAGAAATTATAAAATTTCTGCTAAAAAGAAACTTTATTTAGAGAAAAAAATTTTTTTTTACTGTTTTCGTGTAGATAATTTTTTTTTAATAGTTGATTTTATTTTTATATTCAAAAAAGAAATTAGATTAGAAGGCTTCTGAATGGCTTAAATATTAATTTATATTTTTTAATTCTTCCGTTTCTGTGCAGTTTTTTTGTTTTTGTTGTTTCTGCGGTGATTTGTTCTTTCAATTATAGTTAAAAAATGTAAAATTTGTGGAATAGGTTTTTTATAGCAATTTTTTTTTATTTAGTCTAGTAAATGAAATTTTTTTGTTGTTAAAAATTTCCATGCTTATTTTTTTTGACACTATTTTGAATTTTTGAATATTTTTTTTTATTGTATTTCTGTTTCTAATTCCTTTGGTTTTGGTTTTTTTTTCTTGTTTCTTTAATTTTCTCGTTGGTTTTTTATTTCCTTTTTTTAATTGTTTTTCATTATATTTCCTTTTTGTTATTATTTTCTTTTCTCTTTTTATTCTTTGGTTTTTCTTGTCTTTTAATTATTTTCTTGTTTGTTTTTTAATTCTCCTTTTTTAATTCTCTTTTTTAATTTGTTTTTTTATTTCTTTCTTCTGTTTCTTAATTTTCTTTTCTGTTTTTTGTTTTTCTATTTTTATTTTTTATTTTTTTCTATTTTTATTTGTTTCTAATTTGCTTTTCTTTTTACATTCTTTTATCTATTTTTTTCATTTCTTTTTCTTTCTTTTCTTTTTGTTTTCCTTGTTCTTCAAATTTTCTCGTTTTGTTTTTCATTTTTCTTTTTTTTAATTATTCATTTTGTTTTCTCTATATTTTTCATTTATTCTTTTTATTTTTCGTTTTTTCCTTTCTGTTTTTTCGTTTTCCTTGTTCTTCAAATTTTCTCGTTTGTCTTTCATTTTTCTTTTTTTAATTATTCATTTTGTTTCCTTTATATTTTTTTTATTCTTTTTATTTTTCGTTTTTTTCTGTTTTTTCGTTTTCTTTGTTTTTTAAATTTTCTTGTTTGTTTTTTATTCTCTTTTTTTAAATTTATTGCTTTTTTCCTTTGTTTTTTTAATTTTCCAATTTGTTTTTTATTTCCTCAGTTTCTTTTCTTTTTTCTGTATTATTTTCTCTTTTTTCTTATTGTTTCTTTTCTCTTTTATTTCTTTTGTTTCTTTTTGTTTTTTTTTGTTTTTTTTTTGTTTTTTTGTTTTTTTGTTTTTTGTTTTTTTGTTTTTTGTTTTTTGATGTTTTTTTTGTCTATTTTCCACTTTCTTTTTCTCTTTTCCTTATCTTCCTCTTTTTAAAATTAAAAGATTCTGTCATTTTCTCATTTAAATACTAAAAAAAATTTTCAAAAAAAAAATATATTCTTTATTCTCTTTCTTTGCGTTTCGCAAAAGCACTAATAAAAATTTGTCCGTCAATCCTTGGCATAATTTTATAGACAGAATAATATAATGTCTCTTATTGATCAAACAGACGCGGAATAATAATATTTTCCTCGGATTTTATTCTCCTTTTTTTTTTTAGTTTTTACTCAAGTATCGTTCCCTACTCTCTCGTTTTTCAAACAAAATAATAAAAAATTTTTTTTTGTTAGGAAAACAATTATTTAATTTAATTTAATTTTGATCTTTATTTGTAATTTAAAATAAAGCGTAATTAATTTTTTTCTAAATTTAATTAATTGTTTTTTTGATTTTTGTTGAAACAGGAAATTAGCGAAGATGTCAGAGATGTTGAGCACAAATGGCTCGAGCAAGATGGAAGTGCGCCTTTCGTGGAAACGCGACGCACTCCCGATATTGAGAATATGGATCTTGAACAATATCATCAGTCCATTTCACAGTGAGTCAACTGCAATAATTTTTCTTTTAGAAATTTAGAAAAAAAATTACAAACAATTTTTTTTAGAAATAGAAAAAATTATAGAAGATTTTTTTTTAAGAAATAGAAAAAATTTTAAAGAATTTTTTTTCAAAATAGAAAAAATTATAGAAGAATGCTTTTTAGAAATAAAATAAAGAAAAAGTTTAGAAAAGTAATGGAAAAAATTGTAAAAAGAATTTTGTTTTTAAATTACAAAACATTGCAAAAAATTTTGTTGAGAAATGGAAAAAATTATAGAAGATTCTTTTTGAAACAGAAAAAATTTTATAGAGAATTTTTTTCCAACTAGAAAAAATTACAAAGAATTTTGTTTAGAAATAGAAAAAATTATAGAATAATTTTTTTTAAGAAATAGAAAAAATTGTAAAGAATTTTTTTTTAAAGTAGAAAAAATTATAGAAGAATTTTGTTTCAATGTTGAAAAAACTATAGAAGAACTTTGTTTCAAAGTAGAAAAAATTATAGAAGAATTTTGTTTCAAAGTAGAAAAAATTATAGAAGAATTTTTTTTAGCAATGGAAATAATTGTAGAGAATTTTTTTTTAGAAATGAAATAAAGAGAAATTTTAGAAAAGAAGAAAGAAAATAGGATTTTAAATAAATATTCTATTTTTTTTTTGCAGGATGAACACCAGTTTAAGTGAAATTCACTCGGACATTCAGCGTCTCGCGAGTCAACAAAATCAAATTCAACAACAACATTTAATGACTCAACACCAACAACAAATGCAACAGCAACTTCAACAATTGCAAAGTTTCAGTCAACAGCATTTACAGGTTTTTTTTTCATTCGTTTCATTAACTTTTTCATTTTATTTTCAAATTTTTCTTTAAAATTATAATTATGTATTTTAATTATAATTATAATTAAATTATAATTCAGTAATTTTATAATTTTAAAGGACATTAATTTATAAATTAAAATTTATAAAATTAGAAATCAAATTATAAATTATAAATAATTTTATAAATTTGAATTTTTCAATGACATTAATTTATAAATTAAAAAATTAGGAAATTATAATAATTATGAGTCGAATTATAAATTAATAATTGTTGGAGATAAAAAAAAAATTGACGGGGAAATTTTCGTGTTCCAAAGCAGGGTTACAGTGTACCGTCTCCAAATTCAATGACAGCGAGGATTCAAGATCCGCAACAGTCGCAATTTTATCTCCACGACCAGCCACAACAACTGCCAAGAAGAACATGGGGTTCGCCATTACCTGCTCAAAGTCTCGCCAATGAAATGGCCGCCGTTAGTTTTCAATCGCCAGTCGATCCTCGTTTTAATACACAGTCAATCGGTGAGAAATTATTTTATTATTTTATTTTCTCAACTCAAGAAAAAATTATCATTTTTTTGATTCTAAACAGATAAATTTGAAAGTTAAAAAATTGGAAAAAAAATGAAAACTATTAGAAACAATTGTTGAGAGAGAAACAATTATTTATCAACTCAAGACGAAATTATAGGAAACATTTGATGATAAAAAATGGGAAAAATATGAAATCTACTATAATAGAAACAATAGAAAAACTGTTGTTAAGATAAAAAAATTATTTTTTAAAAATATTTGAAAAATAGAAATTTGAAGAAAAGAGAAAAAAATAGAAAAAAAATACTTATACATATATAATAAAAAAATAGAAAATCCAAATACAAAAAAATAGAAAATTATGAACAATAATAAAAAATCTTTTTAAAAATAAGTAAAATATTAATAATAATAAATAGTTTGTAATTTTAAATAAAAAAAACTAATAGACATCTCTAGTCCATTAAAAATTTAATAAGTAAATAAAAAAAAATAAAAAAATAGTAAAAAGAGAAAAAAAGAAAAAAATATTGAAAAATAATGTTTAAAAAGAAAAAAAAATAGTTAAAAGAAATAGGTACAAAAATAGGAAAAATATTTTATATAAAAAAAAAGAAAAATATTAGTTTGTTGTTGTTTGTTTTTTTGTTTCTTAACTTTTTGAATGATTTTTTTATAATATTTTCAATTTTAAAATTAATGTATTGAAAATCATGGAATTTTTGCAAAGAATTTTATAAAAAAAAATTGATAATAATAGAATTCCTTCGAAGAATTTTGTTGAAACTTTTGAAAATTCTAATTAAATTCTTTTTGAAGAATTTCTTTGAATTTTTTTTTTTTTTAAATAATGGAGTTTCTTTAACAATTTTAATTAAAATTTTTATAAATAATTGAATTTTATGAACAATTTCTATCACATTTTTTAAATAATCGTGTTTGTTAATAATTTAAATTAAACATTTAATTTTTGAATTTTATTAAAGTTTTAGAAAATAATTGAATTCATTTGAAAAATTTTAATTGAATTTTTGCAAAGGATTTTACTATTTATAAACATAATTGAATTAATTCCAAGAATTTATTAAAATTTTAGAAAACAATTGAATTTTTTTAAAGAATTTATTAAAATTTGGAAAAAAATTGAATTTTTTTAAGGATTTATTAAAATTTTAGAAAATAATTGAATTTTTGGAGAAAAATTTTATTATTTACGAAAATAATTGAATTTTTAGCGAAGATTTTCTTTATTTTCTTTTATTATTTCTATTTTTATTTCTATTTTTATTTCTATTAATTTCGATGAATTTTAACAAAAATCTCCAAAAATAATTGATTTCTAATGAAGAATTTTATTATTTTCATTTACGAAAATAATTGGATTTCCATAGAAGAATTTTTTTATTTATGAAAATATTTGAATTTTTGCGAAAAAATTTATTATTTAGGAAAATAATTGAATTTTTTAAAAAAGATTTTACTATTTAAAATAATAATTGAATTTTTTCGAAGAATTCATTAAAATTTTAAAAAATAATGGAATTCTATTGTAACTTTTTATAATGAATTGAGAAAGAAAATTGAATTCTTTCGTAAAATTTTTTTGATAATAATTGAATTTTGGCAAAGATTTTCACTATTTAAAAAAAATAATTGAATTGTTTCGAAGGATTTATTAAAATTTTAAAAAATAATTGTATTCGTTCGTGAAATTTTATTAAAATTTTGTTTAAAAATAAAATTGAATTTTTGCAAAAAATTTTATTATTTATAAAAATAATTTAATTCCACAGAAAAATTTATTATTTATGAAAATAATTGATTTCTTGCGAAGAATTTTATCAAAATTTTCGAAATTATTAAACAAGAATAATGAATAAATTAGTAAATTAGTTAATAATTGAATTTTTTTTAAAGTTTGAATTTGAAATTATTCAAAAATTCATATTTGAAAATAAAAAATTTTGTGATTTTCATAATAATAATAATAATAAATTGAAAATCACGTTCCGCGCGATATCGTGCGTAACATTTGCTAGTTTTGAAAAAATACTAAATTTTTCAATATTTAAAAAATTTTTAAAATACTTGTTTAGAGAAAATAATTAAAAAGTCGAAAAATAGAAGAAAGAAAACAAAAAATCGAAAAAAAATATTAATACTACAGTAGAAAGAATAGAAAAATTAATAAAAGAAAAATAGTTGTTAAAATAGGAAAATAATTGGAAAAATAGAAAATTAGTTGAAAAAATATAGTTGAAAAAATTGTTTTTGGTAAATAAGTAAATAAAATGTTGCTTGCAGTTTATCAACAAGATCCGCGAATATATCAGGACACAAGATCGTGGGGTGTGCATCACCTACCTCAACAAAAGGGCTTCGTCCTTCACGACGCTACCCAGGAGCAGCGCTATCTCAATGGCGGTGATCATAGTCTCTGCAATAATCAAATAAGTCACACAGCTTCCGGTTATCCGACGTCGTCGTCGTCCTCGTCGGTTTTCAATCAAACGCCACCACCTTCTGCTAGTCCCCAGCATCGAAACGCTGTAAGTATTTTCTTTCTCTATCTCTACTTTATTTTCTCTTTTTTTATTTATTTTTTATTTTCCCTTTTGTTTATTTTTATTTTTTTTATTTTCTCTTTTGCTTATTTATTTTTCTTTTTTTTCTTTTTTTATTTATTTTTATTTTCTCTTTTGTTTATTTATTTTTAGTTTTTATTTTCTCTTTTGTTTATTTATTTCTATTTTTTATTTTCTCCTTTGTTTATTTATTTTTCTTTTTTATTTTCTCTTTTGTTTATTTATCTTTCTGTTTTATTTCTCTTTTGTTTATTTATTTCTATTTTTTATTTTCTCTTTTTTTATATTTCATACTTTTCTATACTTTTCATTTTTTCCTTTTTTCCTTTTTTTAAAAATTTAATTATTAAAAACTAATTAAATTAAAAACTAAAAAAAGTTTTTATTTAGAAAGAAAAAGCTGATAAAATAAATAAGGATATTAATTAAAAAGAAAAAAAATACTTTTTATTGTATAAAAGTATATTTTTGGATAATTTTCTTTCGTTTTGCATTAGAAAATTGTATTTTATATTTTTCCTTTTCTCTTTGAAATTTGAATTTAATGAGAAAAAATGAATAAATACTGTAAATTATAAAAAAAAAAAATACGTAACAAATAAAAAAAATAAATAAGGGAAAAAATAAATAAGTAAATAAATAAAGAAGTAAATAAACAAATAAGTAAATAAATAAAGAAGTGACTAAATAAGAAAGTATGTAAATAAAATAAAAAAGCGAATAAAATACAAAAGTAAATAAAATAAGAAAGTAAATAAATAAAGAAGTGACTAAATAAGAAAGTAAATAAAATAAAAAAGTAAATAAAATAGAAAAGCGAATAAAATAAAAAAGTAAATAAATAAAGAAGCGACTGAATAAAAAAAATAAATAAAGAAGCGACTGAATAAAAAAGTAAATAAATAAAGAAGTGACTAAATAAGAAAGTAAATAAATATAGAAGTGACTAAATAAAGAACTAAATAAAATAAAAAAGCGAATAAAATAAAAAAATAAATAAAATAGAAAAGCGATTAAAATAAAAAAGTAATAAAATAAAGAAGTGACTGAATGAAAAACTAAATAAATAAAAAAGCGACTAAATAAGAAAGTAAATAAATAAAGAAGAGTGAATAAAAAATTTAATAAATAAAGAACTGAATGAATAAAAAAGTATCAAAAATAAAGAAATAAGTTAAAACAATAAGCAAACAAATAAATAAGTTAAATTTTTCTTTTTATTACTATTATTTGGAATTAATTAAAATCTTTTTTTGTAGTTAAAAATTGACGTCCGATGAGAGTACTTAAATTTTTTGTTTTTTTTTCTTTCACCTCCGTGCGTGTGTGTATGAATGAAAAACCAGTTGATGATGTAACTCATGCTTATAGACAATTTTTTTCTTCTTCCCACACTAGTTTCTTAACACCTGAGATTCAATAAAAATATACATAATGTACATAACGATCAGTGACGATTCTGTCGTCTCTCGTTCATTTTAAAAAATTAAATCCCAAAGTTTTTTTAATTTTCCTTTTTTCCTTTTATTTTATCCTCGCACTATGAATTTATTTTATTTAAATACAAATTCGAGTAGCAGCATTATTCGTTATCATTTTTCACAGGTTTTTTCCTTTTCCTCTCACTCTCAATTTGTTTTTATTTATTTATTTACTTATTTTATCGTGCTGAGAAAAATTAAATGGAATTTTATTTTCATTTTTGAAATATTGAGAGAAATAATTTATATTAATATTTATTTTATTTACTATATTTATTAATATTGTTTTTTGGTGAATTTTTGGTAGGTCCATCGAATAAGTCAGTTGATGAGCGATACACCGGAAATAAAAAGGCCGACAATTCATCATGTTCCAATTACCTGCGAGAGTCCCACGGAAAAACGGCAAATTTCATCGGTACACAGTTCCGTTCCTGCACCACCAGTCGACGATATGGAACCGCAAAATATTTCCTTTATCGGTAAGCACAACATTACTTAATAAAATCTTTTTTTTCAATTTTTTTTTTAACTTAAATCACAATTTTTTCAAAAAGTTTTACTAAAATTTCGCTAATACTAGAAATTAAAAAACTAATTCGAAAAAATTATAATCAAATTCTTTAAAACGATTCAATTATTTTCAAGAAATATTCCAAATTTATATTTTCATCAAATTTTGTAAATGCATTCAATTATTAGAAAAAAAAAATGATAAAATTCAATTTTTTAAAAAAAATTTTCATAAAATAATAAAATTATTCTCTGGAAAACAATTATTTTTGAAAATTTTAATAAAATTCTCAGCAACTATTCAATTATTTTCATAAATAATAAAATTCATCGCAGGATTTCAATTATTTTTAATACAATTTTATAGGAATTGCTCGAAAAATGTAATTATTCTTAAAAATTTAATTTTAATTTCTCGCAAAAATGAATTATTTACAAAAGTATTTTTTTAAATTCTTTGAAAGAATTCAATTATTTACATAAATAATAAAATGCTTTTTAGGAATTCAATTATTTAAATTAGAATTTGCATAAAATTAGTCGAATCATTATTATTTATGCAAATAATTGAATTTCTCAGAAGAATTATAATATTTATGAAAATAATTGAATTCTTCTAAAGAATTTTATCAGAATTTTTTAAAATAATTAAATTTTTTAAAAGAACAGTACATTAAAAAATTTTTAAATGATTTCATTTGTTTGAAAAATTTTATTAAAACATTGAAAAATAATTAATTTTTTTTGAAAGAATTTAATTAATATTTTTTAATTAAGAAAATAATTTTATTCTTTCGAAAAATTTCATTAAAATTGTAGATATATTGAAAATAATTTAATTTTTGGAAAGATTTTTATTAAAATTCTTTAAAATAATTGAATTGTTTTGAAGAATTTATTATTCAATATTCTTGAAAATAATAGATTTTTTTTTTTGGTAATTTTTACTGAATATTTTGAAAATAATTGAATTTTCTGGAGAATTTTTTTTTAAGGTTTCAAAATAATCGTGTTTATTATTAATTGTAATTTAACGATTTTCCTATTAAATTATATTAAAATTATTCATAGAATATTATATTCTTTTAAACAATTTTATTAGAGTTTTTGTAAATAATTAAAATTGTATTGAAAATATTTGAATTTTTCAGAAGAATTTTGATTAATTACAAAAAACAATTGAATTCTTGACAAGAATTTTACAATTTCTAAAAAAATATTAAAATTGATTGGAAGAATTTTTTATCAAATGTTTTGAAAATAATTAAATTTATATTAAAATTCTGGAAAATAATTGAATTCCTCCGAAACATTTTATTATTTATGAAAATAATTGATTTCCTTTGTTGAATTTTATTATTTTTGAAAATATTTTAATTCTTACGAAAACTTATCTTATTTACGAAAATAATTGAATTCTTGCCAAGAATTTTACAATTTATAAGAATAATTGAATTGTTTCGATGAATTTTTTTATCAGAATTGTTGAAAATAATTGAATTTTTATTAAAAACTCTTGAAAATCAATGAATTTAAATAATATTTTTAAAAATAATTGTATTCTTTCGAGAAATTGAATTAAAATTGTATTGAAAATAATTGAATTCCTTTGTTGAATTTTCTTATTTTTGAAAATATTTTAATTTTTTGTAGAATTTTCTTATTTACGAAAATAATTAAATTCTTGCCGAGGATTTTACAAATTCATAACAATAATTGAATTGTTTCGAAGAATTTTATCTGAATTTTTGAAAAAATTGAATTTTTTCAAGTAATTTTATTGAAAATTTGAAAATAATGAATTTTTAAATAAAATTTCATGAAAATGGGTTAAAAATAATTGAATTTAAAGAGATTTTTATTATTTTGTACGAAAATAATGGAATTCTTTCCAAGAATTTTAGAATTTATAAAAATAATTGAATGGTTTCGAAGAATTTTTTATCAGAATTGTTAAAAATAATTGAATTTTTATTAAAACTCTTGAAAATAATTGAATTTAAATAATATTTTTAAAAATAATTGTATTTTTTAGAGAAAATTTAATTAAAATTGTATTGAAAATAATTGAATTCCTCCGAAACATTTTATTATTTATGAAAATAATTGGATTTCTTTGTTGAATTTTACTATTTTTGAAAATATTTTAATTCTTGCGAAGAATTTTTTTATTTACGAAAATAATTAAATTCTTACCATGAATTTTACAATTTATAAGAATAATTGAATTGTTTCGAAGAATTTTATTTGAGTTTTTGAAAATAATTGAATTTTTTTAAGGAATTTTGTTAAAAACTTTGAAAATAATGATTTTTTAATGAGAATTTCGTGAAAATTGTTGATAATAATTGAATTTATATTAAAATTGTTGAAAATAGTTGAATTTATATTAAAATTGTTGAAAATAATCGAATTTAATTAATATTTTGAAAAATAATTGTATTTTACCGAGAAATTTTATTAAAATTGTTTTGAAAACAATTGAATTCTTGTGAAGAATTTTAATATTTATGAGAATAATGAAATTCTTGTTTAAAATTTAATTAAAATTTTTGAAAATAATTGAATTCTTTCGAAAAATTTCATTATTTTCGAAAATAATTGAATAGTTTGCAAAGAATTTTATTATTTATAAAAATAATTGAAATTCTTCGAACATTTTTATTGTTCATAAAAATAATTAAATTGTTTCGAAGAATTTTATCTGAATTTTTGAAAATAGAATTTTTCGAAGGAATTTTATAAAAATTTTGAAAATAATGATTTTTTAAAAAGAATTTTCTGAAAATTGTTGATAATAAATTGAATTTATTTTAAAATTCTTGAAAATAATCGAATTTAATTATTATTTTGAAAAATAATTGTATTCTTTCGAGAAATTTGATTGAAATTGTATTTTGAAAATAATTGAGTTCCTCCGTGACATTTTATTATTTATGAAAATAATTGAATTCCTTCGTAAAATTTTCTTATTTTAGAAAATATTTTAATTCTTGCAAAGAATTTTCTTATTTATGCGAAAATAATGAAATTCTTGCCGAGGATTTTTTTATAAAAATAATTGAATTGTTTCGAAGAATTTTTTTCTGAATTTTTGAAAATAATTGAATTTTTGAAAAGAATTTCATGAAAATTGTTGTAAATAATTAAATTTATGTAAAAATTCTTGAAAATAATTTAATTTTATTAATATTTTTGAAAAATAATTGTATTCTTCCGAGAAATTTGATTAAAATTGTATTTTGAAAATAATTGAATTCTTGTGAAAAATATTTTTATTTATGAGAATAATGAAATTCTTGCTTAAAATTTGATTAAAATTTTGGAATAATAATAAACAAGAATATTCAATATTCTACACTTAATAAGTGAATTCTTTAAATTTTAAATCTCTAATCATTCAAAAATTTATGTTTATTCTTAAAAATTGTTTACTAAAATCAACCGATCGTATTTACAAATAAAATAAATTCAATAATTGATTTATAAAATGAAAACTAAACTATTTTTCGTTTTCGCCTTCAGGCAATGACGAGGACCTCTCGCAGGACATAAGAAAGCACATAACCTCAGGCAGTCGAACCTACAGGATACCATCGCCAATGAGGCCTTCAATATCGCGGAATTCCTTCCAGCCTCCGTCGTCACTGCGCGAAACAACGCCGCCGCCACAAACAACTTTGGTGCCCGAAGTGGCGCTGAACGAAAGCCGAGACGACAATGCCGAGAAGGGCTTCTACATTTCCTTCGACAATGACGCGCCAAAGAAGCCGAAGCCAACGCTGCGGCAGAAGAAGGCGTCGCCGAAGAAGGAGCAGCGCACCATGTCGCAGTACAGCGAGAATGCACTCGACGATTATTCCTCGAATTTTTTATCGTCGCGCGCTGAGTCGCCGTCCGTCGAGAGGCACTTGAAGGAGAATTTCCGCGAGGCCGAGAAGGAGAAGCAGCGATTGGCGGCGGAGCGCGAGCACATGCGACAGGAAATGAGGGATCGCGAATTAAAGAGGGAAATCGATAAGGAGCAGAGGCAGAGGAATCGCGAGGCGACCACGACTGGCGTTGGATTGGTTATTGGCAATCAATTGGCGAATCCAGATCCAGTTAGTGATTTTTCTCTTGGATTTCTATTAGTTTGCGTCTTGAGTTTCCATTCGCTTCTTCTTTTTTCTACTCTTCTTCTATTTTACTGCTTCTCTACTTTAAGTTTTTATTTTTACTAATTTTGATTTTTGTTTTATTTTCCACTTCTCTATTTTACTTTTTTGTTATTTTTCTACGTTTCTATTTTATTTTTTGCTATTTTTTACTTCTCTAATTAATTTTTACTTTATTTAATTTTTTGCTGTTTTTATTTTTTGCTATTTTTCTACTTTTTGCTATATTTCTACTTCCCTGTCTTATTTTTTCCCTATATTTCTACTTTTCTATTTTCTTTTTTTATATTTCTCTACTTTTTTCTACTTTTCTATTTTAATTTTTTGTTATATTTCTACTTCTTTATTTAATTTTTTGTTATATTTCTATTTCTTTATTTAATTTTTTTGATATTTTATTTTTACTGTTTTCTACTTTTTTTTCTATTTTTCTACATCTCTATTTTTATTTTTTTTTTTTACTTTTTTCAACTGTTCTATTTTTCTACATCTATATTTTATTTTTTTGCATTTTTTCCTACTTTTCTATTTTTCTAGGTCTAGGTCTGTTATATTTTTTCCCTATATTTCAACTTTTCTATTTTCCTTTTTTTTACTATTTTTCTACTTTTATATTTTATTATTTTTCTATTATATCAATTTTTTTAATATTGTTCTATTCTTTTACATCTTAATTTTATTATTACTTTTGACTTTTTTTTGCTTCTATCAATTTTTGCTATTTTTCTATTTCTCTATTTTTTTTGTTATTTTTCTACTTTTTCTAATTATCTGCTTTATTATTTTAATTTTTTGCTATATTTCTACTTCTATTTTCTTTTTTCTATTTTTCTTTTTTCTATTTTCTGTTTTTTTTGCTATTTCTCTACTTTTCTATTTTATTATTTTTCTACTTCTCTACTTTATTTTTTTGATATTTTTCTGCTTCTTTATTTTATTTTTTTGCTATTTTTTTGCTTCTTCATTTTATTTTTTCTTTATTCTACTTTTTTTATATTTTTCTACATCTCTATTTTTTCTACTTTTTTCCTACTGTTCTATTTTTCTACATCTATATTTAATTTTTTTTTGCTTTTTTTCTACTTTTCTATTTTAATTTTTTGCTATATTTCTATTCATTTAAAAAACTTTTTTGATTTGAAAATCAAAAGATGATTTTTCTACATCTCTATTTTCATTTTTACTTTTCCTTTTTTACTGTTCTATTTTTCTACATTCATATTTTATTTTTATGGTTTTTTTCTACTTTTCTTTCTTTTTAGGTCGAACTTTTAATTTTTTGCTATTTTTCAATTTTTATATTTTTCTATTTTTATTTTTTGCTATATTTCTATTTCTCTGTTTTATTTTTTTCCTATATTTCTAATTCTCTATTTTCCCTTTTTTTTGCTATTTTTGTACTTTTCTATTTTATTACTTTTTCTACTTCTCTACTTTATTTTTTTGATATTGTTCCATTTTTTTGCATCTTAATTTTATTTTTACTTTTCCTTTTTTTCTACTTTTACATTTCAATTTTTTGCTATTTTTCTACTTCTCAATTTTAATTTTTGCCTGTACTTCCACTTCTTTATTCAATTTTTTTGGCTATTTTTCTACTTCTCTACTTTATTTTTTTGATATTTTTTTACTTCACTATTTTATTTTTACTTTTTTCTACTTTTTGTTTATTTTTCTACTTTTCTATTTCAATTTGTTGCTATATTTCTAGTTATCTATTTTATTTTTTTGATATTTTACAATTTTTTCAATTCTTTATTTAATTTTTTTGATATTTTATTTTGACTGTTTTCTACTTTTTTTCTATTTTCTCTATCCCTATTTTTATTTAAAAATTTTTTTTTTACTGTTCTATTTTTCAACATCTATATTTTATTTTTTTGCTTTTTTCTACTTTTCTATTTTTCTACGTAAAAATTTTTATTTTTTGCTATTTTTCAGTGTTTCCACTTTTCTATTTTAATTTTTTGCTATATTTCTACTTCTCTATTTTACTTTTTTGTTATTTTTCTACATCTTTATTTTATTTTTGTTCTATTTCTCTATTTTAATTTTTTTGTTATTTTTTTACTTCAATATTTTATTTTTACTATTTTCTACTTCTTTATTTAAATTCTTTGCTTTTTTCTTCTTCTTTATTTATTCTTTATTTAATTTTTTTGCTATTTTCTACTTTTCTATTTTAATTTTTTTCTATCTTATCAATATTTCTACTTCCCTATTTTATTTTTACTATTTTCTACTTTTTTCTATTTTTCTATATCCCTATTTTTATTTAAAAAAAAATTTTTTTTTACTCTTTTATTTTTCAACATCTATATTTTATTTTTTTGTCATTTTTCTACTTTTCGATTTTTCTCTTTTTCTATTTTATCAATTTTTCTACTTCTCTATTTTAATTTTTTGCTATATTTCTACTTCTCCATTTAATTTTTTTGATATTTTTCTACTGATTTGTTTTACCCTTTTTGTATGTTATCAATTTTTCTACTTTTCTAATTAATTTTTTTAAATGTTTTTCTAGTTTTTTACTTCTTTATTTTATTTTTACTTTTTCAATTTTTCTACTTCTCTATTTTATTTTTTTTTGCTATTTTTTTTTACTGTTTTCTACTTTCTTTCTATTTTTCTACTTCTCTATTCTACTTTTCTTCTATTTTTCTACTTTTCTATTTTATATAGTTCCATTTTTCTACTTATCTAATTTATTTTTTATTTTTACTATTTTTCTACTTTGCTAATAAATTTTTTTGTTTATTTTTTTGCTATTTTTCTACGTCGCTATTTTATCTTCTTTATTTTTTATTTTTCTACTTTGCTAATTAATTTGTTTGTTTATTTGTTTGCAATTTTTCTACTTTTCTTTTTTTATGTCGCTATTTTTATTATTTTTTGCTATTTTTCTACTTTTTCCATTTTATCTACTTTGTTTTATTTATTTTTGCTATTATTCTACTTTGCTAATTAATTTGTTTGTTTGCAGAATTCCCTCGACGAAATGGAGAAGAAGAAGGAGAAAATAATGCTCCTCTCGTTGCAACGAAGACAACAGCAGGAGGAATTGAAGGAGCGCAAAGAGACGGAAGCGCAGGCGAGACGCGAACAGGAGAAATTCAAGGAGGAGGAGAGAGCGAGGAAAAAGGACGAGGAGAGGCAGAGAAGAGCGGCGATTTTAGAACAATATAAATTAAAGAAGGCTATCGAAGAGGCAGAGAGAGAAGTATGAGAAAGCAAAATATATTCCTTTCTTTCTTTCTTTCTTTCTTCTTTGAAAAAAAAATTATTTCTTTACTTTTTTTTCTCCTGATTTAAAAAGAAAAAAAATTCTCTTTAATTTAGAAGTAGAAAATTATTTCTTTACTTTTTTTCTCCTAATTTAAAAAAAATGTCTTATTCTTATTCTCATTTAATTTAGAAGTTGAAAATTATTTTTTTAATTCTTCTTTTTTTCGCAGGGCAAAGTCATTGATAAGGAGATATTGAATGCAATAAAACCGACGAAACGTAATAAAGTGGCAACGAGTCGTCCGCGTCCAAAAACAATTCACGTCGACGCTGGCGCTGAATTGGATTCCGGAGCATTAACACCGAGTCGAGGGAAGAAGGGATCTTCCTCAAATCTCAGCACTGGTAAATTTTATTCACTTTAAAAATTCCTATTATCCGTTTGTCTCACTTTTTTATCTTCTTTTCGGAGATTTTTGTCTCAATTTACAACAATTTTTTTTTAAAGTTTCCAGTTTTTTTGTTTCAAGCATTTTTTATTTCTTCTAAAAGTAAAATTTGTCAATTTGAAATAAATTGTTAATTAATAGAATTTGACAATTTTGATAAATTGGTAAATTAATAGAATTTGACAATTTGGATAAATTGTTGATTAATAATTGCCAATAAAAAATAAATTCTTAACTAATTGAATGGTTAATGTAATTAAATTGTCAATTTAAATTAAATTGTTAAGCTCTAGAATTGACAAAATATTTAAATAAATTGTTTACTAATTGAATTGACAATTTAATCAAATTGCGAATTAAATAAATAAAAAATGCCTTTTCCACTTAAATTAAATTAGCAATCGAATGAATTGTTAAGTAATAAATGTTAATTAATAAATTAGCAAAATTATCTCTGAAAAGAAGAGTAGAATTTATTGATGTTGTACATTGCAAAACTAGTTCTTCTGCATGAAGAATTTTTTGTTTTCAGTTTATTAGTTATTTATTTATTTATTTATTTTTGCTTCTTTAAAGAAAATTGTCGCTTTTTTTTATCACGTCAATGTTACACAATTATTCTTTACCAAAGCTCTGGATTTTCGTCCTTATTCTCAAAGTTTCAATTCATTTATTTAAATAAAAAAATTATCAAACATCTATTGTAAAAAAATCTAGTAAAAAACAAAACAAAATAATTAAATCAATAATATTGAATAAAAAAAACAAATATTCAGAAAATACAATTTTAATAACATTTTTTGAAAGAATTCAATTATTTTCAATACAGTTTTAAATTTTTAATAAAATTCAAAAAATTTAATTATTTTCGAAAATTCAGATAAAATTCTTCGAAACAATTCAATTATTTTTATAAATTAAAAAATTCTTCGCAATAATTCAATTATTTTTATAAATTGTAAAATTTTTGTCAATAATTCAATTATTTTTGTAAATAATAAAATTCTTCTGGGAAATTAAATTATTTTCAATTCAATTTTAATTAAATTTCTATATAGGAAAAAATTCAATTATATTCAAGATAATGCGAAGAAATTAATGAAAAATTTGTAAATGAATTTCTGTGAAATTCTTAATTCTTTATGAAAATAATGAAATATTTGCGTAGAATTTTATTTAAATAATTGAATTGTTTTTGAAAATTTTATTAAAACAGTTAATATTGAAAATAATTGAATTTTCTTGGAGAATTTTTACTAGATTTTTAAATAATAATTGAAATTTTCGAAGAAATCAATAAAAAAATCAATCAATCAATAAAAAAATCTTGCCAAAAATTAAATTATTTTCAATACATTTTTAATGAAATTTCTCGAAAGAATAAAATTATTTTCTTTTTAAAAAATATTATATATTAAATTCGATTATTAATCAAGAATTTTAATGTAAATTCCATTATTTTCAATCCATTGTGACAAAATTCTTTCAAAAAAATTAATTATTTTTCAACGTTTTAATCAAATTAAATCATTTTCAAAATTTTTGAATGTACTATGCTTTTAAAAAATTCTGATAAAATTCTTTGGAGGAATTCAATTATTTAATACAATTTTAATTACATTTTCTCGAAAGAATTCAATTATTGAAAAAAATGTTGATAAAATTCTTCGAAGGATTATTTATTAATACATATGGAAGATTGAAAACAATGAGTGAATATTGACAATGAGGGAATAAATAAATAAATAAATATGTAGAAGGATGGAAAATTAAAAACAAAAAATAGTTTAAGACGAAAATCGAGAGGTATTTTTGATTTTTGATTTTGTTTTTTTGCACTAAAACACTTAATTTAGCGTCGCTGATATCGCCAACAATGAGACGTGATTATTACCGAGGCTCGCAGGACAGTCTCACAGCCGCTCATCTCGACGATCGACGATCTGGTCCACTTTATCGTGGAGGCAGCCTCAGGGGTATGCACCACACAAACACTTTTTATGTTCTTCTTTTCCTTTTTTTCAAAATCAACAAGAACATTTTTTTTTAATTTGATAATAATTTGTAAAATTTCTTTTCTTTTTTTTAAAAATATTATTTGCTTTTAATTACGTTCGTTCGTTGAATACAAATAAAACACAAATTTTCAATATACAAATATTTCTTTGTAATATTATTATTTCGCGCACAAAAAGCACTCGCTTGAATGTAGCTGTGAATAATTTATGTGCATGATTATTATTTTCTTTTTATTTTTTTTTTAAATATTATATAAAGAAAAAATATTGAAAAAATTTAAACTAAATTAACTAATTAAATAACTAATTTAATTTAAACTTTATTATTTTTTTTTATTTTCTTGTTAATTTGTTAATTTACTGTCCAGAATTTTTTTTGTTAACAAAAATTAACAACATTAACAAAAAAATATTATTAATTTTCTTCTTAGAATTTTTTTTTTGTTAATTTGTTTCAAAGTTTTTTTTTATTTAATTTGTTTCCAGGTTTTTTTTCATTTAAAAAAAAAAAATTCTGGGAAGTAAATTAAAAATATTTTTTTGTTAATTTTTTAATTTGTTTCCAAGTTTTTTTCATTAAATGAAAAAATCTTGGAAAAAAATTAACAAAAAAAAAAATTCTGGGAAGTAAATTAACAAAGAAAATTCTGGGAGGTAAATTAAAAATATTTGGAAACAAATGAAAATTATTAACTAGCGGAAAAATAAATTACAAATTATTGAAAATAAAATTAAAAATCATAAAAATACTTGAAAGTAAATTAAAAATCTAAAAATAAATAAAAAAAACTTCTTAAAATTAATAAAAAAAAATTCTAAGAAGTAAATTAAAAATTTTTTTTTGTTAATTTAATAATTTACTACCCAGAATTTTTTTTGTTAATTTGTTTTCAAGTTTTTTTCGTTTAATGAAAAAAACTTGGAAACAAATTGACAAATTAACAAAAAAATATTTTCAATTTACTTCTTAGAATCCTTTTTTGTTAATTTGTTTCGAATTTTTTTTTTTATTTAATTTGTTTCCAAGTTTTTTTCATTAAATGAAAAAAACTTGGAAACAAATTAAATAAAAAAAATTCTGGGAAGTAAATATTAAAAATATTTTTTTGTTAATTTGTTAATTTACTTCCCAGAATTTTTTTTTGTTAATTTGTTTCCAAGTTCTTTTCATTTAATGAAAAAAATTTGGAAACAAATTAAATAAAAAAAACTTTGAAACAAATTAACAAAAAAAAAAATTCTAAGAAGTAAATTAAAAATATTTAAAAACAAACGAAAATTATTAACTACCGGAAAAATAAATTGCAAATTATTGAAAATATAATTAAAAATCAAAAAGAAAAAAAATCTAAGAAGTAAATTGAAAATATTTGGAAACAAACAAAAATTATGAAATACTTGAAGTAAATTTTTTAATTTAAAAAAATTAAATTAAATTAAAAAAATAATATTACTCGGAGTAAAAATTAAAATTGAAAATGTCAAAACTAATATTTACCAGAAAAGAAAAAAAAAATTTTTTTTCATGTATTAAAAAACAATTAAAAATAAAAATAGAAAATGAAGTTTTTTTTGTAAATATAAACAAATAGACGATTACTAAATACTAACAAAAAATATTTTATTAAATTGTCATCCTATTTTTAGTATCTTCCGTAGATTCGCCAGACGATGGTCGAGGATCATCGCCGAGTCGAAGTACCAATCAATTGGGACGTCGCGGTTCTTATAAAACGTCTCGAGGTGAGTTTTTCTTTTAATTATTTTCTAAAAATTCGTATAATATTAATTTTTACACCGCTCTAGATTTTTTTTTCTGTTTTTTAATTTCTGCAAATCGAATGCCGCATTTTGCTACTCGACGTGTTATTTTTTTTCTTAGCTCTATGGAATATTTATATCAACGCACGTAGAGATATTTTTAAGAAATTTTTTTTTCGTTTCTTTTTTTTAATGGGACAATTGTTTATTATTTTTTTGTTTTGTTTCTCAGTTTTTTGTCCCTGTTTTCCCAGTGTTTGTTGACAAAGTGCTTTTTATTGATGAGAATATCTTCTTTTATCGTCTACTTTTCTTTCTTTTCAATTTTATTTCTTTTTCGTATTTTTTTTCTCATTTCCATTTTTTCTTCAGTTTTATTTTTTCTTCTTTGTAAATTTTTTCTTCGGTTTCATTTATTCTTCTTTTCCATTTTTTCTTCAGTTTTATTTTTCTTCTTTTTCGTATCTTTTTCTCTTTTCTATTTTTTTTCTTTTTTAAATTTTTTCTTCGGTTTCATTTATTTTTCTTTTCCGTTTTTTCTTCGGTTTTATTTATTTTTTTTTTTAAGTTTCAATTTTTAATTTATTTATTGATTAATTTTTCTTTGATTTTTCTTTTTTAATTCACTTTTTTCTTCGTTTTTATTTAAATTTTCTTCGCTATTAATTATTTTCTCCATTTTCATTTTTCTTTTACATTTTTTTTTTCTTCGTTTCCATTTTTTTAATTCATATTTTTCTTCGTTTTTATCTGTATTCTTTTTATTTTTTATTTTTTAATTCACTTTCTTCTTCATTTGTATTTAATTTTTTTTCGTTATTAATTATTTTTTTCTTATTTCATTTTTTTCTGTTTTTTATTTTTTCTTTGTTTTCATTTTTTTTTATTTCGTCTTTTTTTTCATTTTTAAAATTAATTTTTTTCAGCCTCTTTTTATTCTTTTTTATTTTATTTATTTTTCTTCATTTTTTCTTTTCTCTTATTTATTTTTCTTTATTTTCATTTTTCTTTTACATTTTTTTCTTCTTTTCCATTTCTTCTTCGTTTTAATTTTTTTAATTCATATTTTTCTTCGTTTTTATCTGTATTCTTTTTATTTTTCATTTTTTAATTCACTTTCCTCTTCATTTCTATTTCATTTTCTTTTGATTATTAATTATTTTCTTCGTTTTCATTTTTAATTTTTTTCTGTTTTTTATTTTTTTTTCGATTTCATTTCGTCTTTTTTTCATTTATTTTTCATCTTTTTTATTTATTTTTCTCTTCATTTTAATTTTTTAATTTATTTTTTCATCTTTTTTATTTATTTTTCTTCATTTTCATTTTGTAAATTATTCTTCAATGCAAAACGAATTTGTTTTTTTACTTTCCAAATAAATAAAAAAAAATGTATTAAAAATGCACTTGAGTTGGAACGAAACATTTTTTTGCATCCAGTATTTTTATTTATTTATTTTTTTATTATTATTATTTTTATTATTTTTGTTACCAGCAAATTCGCCTCGTAATTGGACTTGCACCCAATTTTTTTTCTCTTTTTTTTCAAAAAAAAAGTAAAATTGAGGTTTTTTTCTGCGTAAAGCTGAAAATAATCGAAAATTTGATTTTTAAATTTCAGAAAACTATTTTTTTTCTTTTATTTTTGCTATTGGAGAATTTTTTTTGGGGAGGGGGAGGGGGAATAAAAATTAGACATTTTTTTTTAATAATACGAAAAAGATTTCTTTTTTTTCCATATGCAATTTTTTTTTATAAAATACAAAAGTTTTTATTATGTTTTATTTATGTTTACATGCAAAAGAATTTGTTAATTATTATTTTTAAATTCAAAATAATAAATTATATATTTTTTGTTATTTATTTATTTTTATTTACAAAAAAGTTGCTAATTTTATTAATATTCAAAAAATTGTTGTATTTTTTTATTATTTATATTTATATGCAAAAAAAATTGTTTATTTAATTATTTATTTAGTTAATTATTAACGGCAAATTTTTGTATTTGATTTATTTTTTAATATTCAAAAAACTCTTATTATTTTTTTTTTATTTATTTTTAATATTCGAAAAACTGTTTTATTATTTATTTATTTATACGTGCAAAAAGTTTCTTTATTTTTTAATATTTAAATAAAATAAATAAAAATAAAATATTTAAAAAACTCTTTTATTATTTTTTTTAATTTTTTTTTTTTTAATATATTCGAAAAACTTGTTATTAATAATAACTTATTATTTATTTATTTTTACGTGCAAAAAGTTTCTTTATTTTTTAAAATTTTTTAAACTTTTATTATTTTTATTATTTCTATTATTTATTTTTTTATTTATAAAAAATAAATTGAAAAAATAATAAAAGTTTTATTTATGTTTGAAAATTTGGAAATTTTTAAGCAGAAGATTTAATTAAAGAGAAAGAGAGAGAGAAAGAGTGATTTTATTTAGAGAGAGAAAAAGAGTGAGTGAGTGAGAGAGAGAGAGGGAGTAAAAAGAAAAAAATAAAAATTCGATGATTGATGGCGTGTGAGTGTAAAAACGCAAACGTTGCATTATTGCAGATACGCAGGAGCCTCAGCAACAGGTTAGAGGCAGGCCTAAATACCCGACTTACCAAAACTTTAAGGGGAGAAAGTCGAATTCCTTGATGAATTTGTGCGGTAAGAAGCACCCTGTGGCTTGGAATACGTTTATCCCCTTCTTCTTCTCATTATTTCTTCTCCCTCGTGGTCTGGATTTTTTATATGTGTCCCGTTGCTACATCCATTTTTTTTTATTCATTTTAAAAGTCAAATTTTCTCTTCTTGCAAAAAAAAAAAATTTTTAAAGAAAAAAAAATTTTATTTTTTATCTTAATTTCAATTATTTTATAAATAGCAAATAAATAAAGAAATTATAATTATTTATTCAATTTTTTTATTTTTTTATAAATAATAAATAAATAAACAATTATTATAATAATAAATAATTAAATAAATAAAAAATTACTATAATAATAGAAATAGTAAATAAAAAATTTTCCAAGTGGTAAAAAATATTTATTTAAAATCTATTAAATAGTAAATATTTAAATAATGAAAATTAGCAAAATTGGAAATAATGGAAAATTTGACTTTTCTGTTTTTCGAATGAAGAACAAAAAAGAAAAATAGTAATTTATTTATTTTTAATAAATATGTATTTTATATGTAATAGGCATATTTAAAATTAGCGTACACGTAGTCGCATGGTGCTGGTCGCAGAACAGGTGGCAGTCCTCTTTTTTTTTGTTTAACAACAATACATTATATAAACTAAACAAAAAAAAACTACTCAATTCATGACAAATTTTTATTTCTCTCTCAAAATTTCATTTTAAATAATTTCAAATATTGGCGCTCTTTTCGAATCCTTTTTTTTTGACCAATCAGACGTTAGCTGTGAAGTGTGCGCAGTTGGAGCGTTGAGAACAGAATGATTCGTGTCTTTGTGAGATGGGAGATACTCACCACTATACTACTGAAGAATTTCTCTATTTTTTAAATTATTTTATTTACCTACACCTAAAGAATATTAATTTCTTTCTTAATTTCGTTAATTAGAATTTTTTTTTCTACTTATTTTTTGCTTTTGTTACGGAAAGATTTCGCTCTCACTGCAAAGAAAATCACGACAAAATTTTTACGTATTTTTAGGTTAGGTTTCTCCATTTGATCAACATAATAAATTAAATTTAGTTATTAATTATTTTGTCGATAATAAAATAATTTTTGATTATTTTATTATCAAAAACTTATAATTGATAATCCTGTAATTGATCTTTGTGACTGTTGGATTTATTTCATTAAATTAATTTCGAGAATTAGTCTTTTTTCTCTTTTTTCTTTTGTTTCGTAACGGAAATATTTTGCTCTTACTGTGTAAAGAAAGTTTTTACGCATTTTTAGGTTAGGTTTGTTTATTAATTTCGAGAATTAGTCTTTTTTTTCTTTCTTTCGTAATATTTTGCCCTCACTGCAAAAAAAGCACGCTAAATTTTTTACGTATTTTTAGGTTAGGTTTGCTTTCTAAAATAATAGTCGTAGATTTTTTTATTTTACAGTAAAATACAACGGTGTGAAAAGTAAAATTCCTCTCCTCGAAATATTGCAATAGAGAAAAATTGAAAAATAGAAAACAATTTGAGATTTTGAGAGGAAAGTAATAAAAACAATACATACATATTTCACCATTATAAAATAAGTAAACAATTATAAAAAAAATTGTTTTAATTGCTTGTTTAGCTTATCATTGTACAGCACTGGCTATGGGTCCTCTGTTTATATTTCAGATAATATTATGTCTCTCCCCGATTCTTCAGCATTAAATTTTTACATTATTATCATTATCCACTAATATAATTACATTTTTTATTCCAATTCCCTCAACATTTAAACTAGCAAACCTAGCGAATTTTTCCCAAAAAAAAATTTTTTTTTTCATTAAAAGAACGAAAACGTTCTTTTTCAATCCTAACCTCAAAAAAAAATCCTCATGGTTGCTTTATGGAAAAAATTTCAATTATTTTTCTTAAAAATATTTACAATTGTATAAATTTTATTTAATGTGGTAATTGGTTCAATGGAATATGTAACAAGCTTTAATAATAATAATAAAAATGAAATAAAAAATACAAAAAAAATAAAAATACTAGGAAATAGTGTCGATTTAAAGTGAAAAAAATGATTTGTCAAACTACAGATACAGACAGTGGACTGGGTAGAGCGACGCCACCAAGAAGAGCGCCGAGTCCAGGGATGGGTAGCATGAGGCATTTACCATCGCCTTCCGGTCCTGGTTCACTTCCGCCTGGTCTCATGACTAAACGAAGAGTCTTCGACGATGGCAGTAGTGACATCAGCAGTACTCCCAGTTCAATGATGGACTACAATGGTAAGAAAAAAAAGGAAAATTTCTCGAAAATATCAATTCCCAATCGATATATTGACTATCGAATGCCAATCGGGAACAAATCGATTTATATCGAGTTAAAATCGAAGGGATGAGTGATAATCGGAATTTAGTCAAAATCGATTTAAAATTGATATAAATTGAGTTATAATTGATTTATATCGAATTACAATCGAAAGTATCAAGTAATAATCGAAATTGAGTCAGAATTGATTTAAAATCAATATAAATCGAGTTTTAATCGATTTATATTGAATTATAATCAACATTGTCGATTTAAAATCAAATTTATTGAGTTATTATCGAAAGTATCGATTTAAAATTGAATATATCAAGTTATAATAAAAAATATGAACTAAGAATCGATTAATATCGAAAGTATTAATTAATATCAAAAGTATTGATTAATAATCGAAAATATTGAGTAAAAATCGATAATTTATCGAGTAATAATTGATTTTAGTTGTGAAACATTGAAATTGATATCGATTATTATCGATATAAGTAGAGTTGTAAAGTATCGAAATTGATATCGATTATTATCGATATAAGTGAAGTTGTAAAGTATCGAAATTGAATTATATCGATTATCGATGGTGAAATAAATATTAAATAATTAAAAAAAATTTTTTTTCCATTAACTTTACAGGACCTCGTCTTTATAAGCAACCGGCGACAAAATCGAATCGCAACATAATGTTGAATGCAGTTGAGTATTGTGTTTTTCCTGGTACTGTGAATCGTGACGCCAAGAGACGTGTTCTTGATGAAATTGCAAGATCGGAGAGTAAACATTTTCTTATTCTATTCCGTGATGCGGGATGTCAATTTCGTGCACTCTATTCATACTGCCCGGATCGTGATGATATCACGAAACTTTATGGCACTGGACCCAAGCAGGTCATCGATAAAATGTTCGACAGATTTTTCAAGTAAGTCAAATCAATTTTTTTTGTATTTAGAGACAAAAAGAATATTGTAGTTTTAAAGAAAAAAAGGAATTTATAAGCAAAAATGATTTTAAAAAATAATTTCAAAAAATAATTCCAAAAAATAATTTTTAAACAAAAATAAATACTTGATTTGCAATTGTTCAGTCGTGAAATTTGCGAATATATGTTTATTTTTTTGTTTTGGGCGTTTTTGGGGTTATTACTTGAGACTAAAGTCGTGAGGTGTTGATTTTTGGAAAATATTTCAGCTGCGCAGTAGATCATGGTAATGATAATTTTATGCGCATTGGTGATTTTTAGTATTTTCTTATCCGAAATTTTCGGTATTGTAATAATTGAACGTATTTTCTTATCCAAATTTGACCATAACCTTAAAAATTTTTTTTAGAAATTAAAAGAAAAAAGTTTTTATCTCATTTTCCAATGGTTCACTTTTCTTGTTTTCGAAAGTACCTTTAGTTTCTAATTCTATGCATATTTGTAAAAATTATTAACTGCTAAAGTCGTGAAGTGGGGTAAATTTTTCATAGCTGCGAAGAATCTAAATTTTAAGAAATGGATTTTTTAGCAATCTTCTAACGAACTCACAAGTTGTAAGGACCCTAATTAAGATGTTATTTTTCTTATCCAAATTTGACCATAACCTTAAAATTTTTTTTGTAAATTATAAAAAAAATTTTTAAATACTATTTTTTATTTGTTCACTTTTCTAGTTTGGAAAAATGTCTCTATTTTTCATTTTTATGTTCATGGGTCGAAATTATTGACAGTCAAAGTCGTGAAGTGGGGTAAACTTTAAGAAAATTCCAACTGCGATGTTTTTAAGAAATCTTCTAATTAACTTGCTGCTTGAAAGCGTAGTTCCATCCTAATTGTCTATTTTTTTTAGTTTTCCTTCTCGAATTTGACCATAATCTTAAATTTTTTTTGTAAATTATAAAAAAACATTTTTTTAACTCAATTCTCCAATTATTCACTTTTTTAGTTTGGGAAAATACGTTTACTTTTTAATTTGATGCATTTGGGTAAAAATTATTAACAACCAAAGTCGTGAAGTGGGGTAAATTTCAAGAAAATTCCAACTGCGATGTTTTTAATCAATCTGCTAATTAACTTGCGATTTGAAAATATAGTTCTAATGTAATTCTCTATATTTACATACTTCTTTCTTTCAAATTTGACCATAACCTTAAAATTTTTTTTTTAAATTAAAAATAAAAAATTTTTTTCTTCTATTTTTTAATGGTTCACTTTTCTAGTCTCGGAAAATGCCATTGCTTTTTAATTTGATGCATATGGGTCAAAATTATTAACAATCAAAATCGTGAAGTGGGGTAAATTTTTAAAAAACTTCAAGCTATCAATTCTTTATGAAATATACTAATTAACTCACGATTTTAAAGTATAGTTCTACTGTAATTATGTATCTATATTTTCGTATGTTTCTTCTTTGAACTTGGCCATAACCTTAAAATTTTTTTGGCAAATAAAAAAAAATTTTTTTTGATCCATTTTTCAATTGTTCACTTTTCTAGTTTGGGAAAATACGTTTAATTTTCAATTTAAATCATTTGGTTAAAAATTATTGACATTCAAAGTCATGAAGTGGGGTAAATTTTAAGCAAATTCCACCTGTGAATGTTTTTAGCAATCTGCTAATTAATTTGCTACTTGAAAGTGTAGTTCTACCGTAATTATCTATATTTTCATATTTTTCTTCTTTGACCATAACCTTAAATTTTTTTTTTGCAAACTAAAAAAAAAATTTATTTTGACTTAATTTTTCAATTGTTCACTTCTCTAGTTTGAGAAAAAACGTTTAATTTTTAATTTGAATCATTTGGGTAAAAATTATTGACATTCAAAGTCGTGAAGTGGGGTAAATTTTAAGCAAATTCCACCTGTGAATTTTTTTTAGCAATCTGCTAATTAATTTGCTACTTGAAAGTGTAGTTCTACCGTAATTATCTATATTTTCATATTTTTCTTCTTTGACCATAACCTTAAAATTTTTTTTTGCAAATTAAAAAAAAATTTATTTTGACTTAATTTTTCAATTGTTCACTTCTCTAGTTTGAGAAAATACGTTTAATTTTCAATTTGAATCATTTGGATAAAAATTATTAACATTCAAAGTCGCGAAGTGGAAGAAATATGTCTCTATCTCTTCTACGAAAATTAATTTTCACGCAGTGATAATTTTTAACATAATTAGAACACTATTAGCAAAAATTAAAAAAAAAATTTATTTTTTTTTACAAAAAAAAATTTCTAAAAAAATTTTTTTTTTTTATTCCAGATACAATTCTGGGGGAAAGTGTTTCTCGCAAGTTCACACGAAACATCTGACTGTAACCATAGACGCCTTTACGATACACAACAGCCTTTGGCAAGGGAAAAAAGTGAATCTGCCGAATAAAAAAGACATGGCCCTCGTCATATAGTTTTTAAGGTAATTGTCAGAAAAACAAAAACAAAACTTTAACAAAAAGAAAAAAAAACGAAAAAAAAATTGAAAAAAAAATTTTGAGGAAAAAAAATGAAAAAAATACGCTACTGTGCCCTCTGTTGTTCATAGTTACTATTTTAATACAGGCCCATATTAAAATTAACTCCAAAGCGCCGTTTATTAGTCAGTTTTTATATAATATTAAAACAAAAAAAAGAAGAAGAAGAAAGAAGAGAAAAACCAAACGGTGTTGACTTTCACTTTTCGAAAAAAGAAAAAAAAAAGAAAGATAGGAAAAAAAGGCGCTTTAATTTTAAGCTATCGTTACCTCAATTTTGTTACGTTTTCAATTCTTTACTACTTAACTACTTCTTTTTAATCTTCTCATCAATTTCATCGTCATTGTATTTCTTATTCTTACTATTTTCATTATTGCAATTTTTTTTTTTTTTATTTTTTTTTTATATAATTAATTTGTTTTTTTATTATTGTTTTTTTTGCATCATCATTGCTATTATCATAATTACTATTTCTATTATTTTTTTTCATTATTATTATTTCTATTATTTTTAATATTATAATTATTATTTTTTTTTCTATTATTATAATAATTTTTTTTTAATTTAAACTTTTTTTTTTTTATTTAAAATTTTTTTTTTTATTATTTTTATTATTATTATTATTTTTGCTATTATTATAATTACTATTATTATTATTATTATTATTAACTGACGTCAGCACCGTTTAAAAATCGGTGTTTTTCAAAAAAAAAAAAAATATTTAAAAATCGATTGTAACTTCGGACTAATTGACGCTCAGCGAACAATTATTTTTTACGACTGACAAATATATAATATTTAATCCCCCCCCCTCCCCATTAATTTTTTACCTTCGATTACTAAATGGAAATTTAAAAAAAAAATTCCAAGTGACGTTCGCAAATTTTTTTTTATGTTTTTCTCTCGCATGGGCCAAAGCAACGAATGCATTTTTTTTTTAATGAATTAAATTATAATTTAATGTTTAACTTGTAATTTGTAATTTATAATTTAATTTAACTTACAAATTGTAAATTTATAATTGAATTTTCTTACAAATTTATATTTATAATTTAATGTAACTTGTAATATATTTTATTGTTTTTTTTATGAATTTTTTTTTTTGCCTTGAAAAAAATACGTGAATAATTTTCTAAATTTGAATTTTTGGGATTAATTTTTGGATATTAAAAATGGATTTTTTTTGGGGGGGGGGGGGTATTTATTTAAACGATAGATTTATTAATTTTTTTTTAATATTTTTTTACTGTGTTTTTTTTTAGAATTAACAATTTTTGTTTTGTGAAAAGAAAATATTCGTGGCGAAATTATTTTTTCTACCTGAGTTTCCTCTCTGTGTCGCGTCGGTAAAGTAGATCCAGGCGGCGCTGCTTGTTTCTTCTAAAGTGCAGGCAAATTTTTTTTTTTTTTTGTCGATTGTTTTGTATTGATTTCTTTTCTTTTTTAGTAACAAATTTTTATTTCTTGAACTTTTTTTTTTATTTACAAAATATAATTTTTTTTCGATTTAAATTTATTTAACGATTCTCACTTGATTCAATTTTGAGTAAAAAATTCAAATTTCGAGAATTTTTCATGTATTTTGTTAATCAAGGTTTTTCAAAAAATTTTTTTTTGTATTTTTTTTTTTTTGCTACTTATATACAAAAAAAACAAGAATTAATGTAGATTTATTGAAATTTTATTAAAATTACAAAACTCAAAAAAAATTATAAAATATAAATTACAGGACAGAAAAAAATGTTGATATTAATTTTTTTTGAAAATTTTCAAGGGACATTGTTTTTTGTGTATAAAGAAAGAAGGAAGGAAAAAAAAATGTTTTCACAATATATTTCTGAATCGTCGTTGTAAATTTTAGCTAAAAGAAAAAATTTTCTCCTTCGAGTTGTGTACATGCGACAGAAAAAAAATCGAATTTTGCCTGCGAAATTTTATTAAAAATAGAAAATTATTCAAAAGAAAGCATGAAAGTTGTGAGTGTGTCTTTTTCAAAACAAAAATAATTTTTTTATTTATCGAAAAAAATTTTTTTCAGGAATAGTTTAATTTTTGTAGGTCTTTTTTAGGTCTTATTAGGTCATTTAAGATTTTTTGGTCTTTTTTGAAAGTTTTTTAGGTCTTTTTAAAATCTTTTTGATTTTTCTAGATTTATTTGGTCTTTTTGGTCTTTTTTAAAAAGTTTTTTGGTCTCTTAAGATCTTTTAGGTCTTTTTAGGTCTTATTAATTCCTTTAAGATCTTTTCTGGGATCTTTTTAGGTTTTTTTTAGAAGTCATTTTAGGTCTTTTAAAATCTTTTAGGTCTTCTAAGGTCTTTTTCGAAAAAAAATTTAGGTCTTTTTTTGAAGTCATTTTAGGTCTCTTTAAGATCTGTTTGGTCTTTTTTATGTCTTTTTAAAAGTCTTTAGGTCTTTTTTTAGCTCTTTTTTTTGAAAGTTCGAAAAGATCTTTAAAGTGCCATAAAGTCAAATTTTAAAAACTCGACTCTGGCATTAATTATAGCGACAAAAATGAGCGTTTTTTGAGAGACTCGACTATTATTATTATTATTTTTTTAAAATTTTTATTACTATAAAAGAAAACTGAATAAATAAATATTAAAAACCAATATTTATTTATTTTCAAAAAAGATCCTAATAGTTGACCAAAATTTTTGTCTCGAATACAAATTAATTATTTTTTTATTAAAATGTGAAAATTTTCATGAAATATTTAAAAATTCAGTGGCGCCATCTCAATCTACTTTACCGACGGTTCGCAGATTGGAAACTCCCATACAATTCTATTTTTTTCCCTCCATTTTCGCAAAGAACGAAATATTTTCAAGTAAAAAAGTTCATTTCGAGTAAAAAAGTTTTTTGCGAGTAAAAAATTAATTCTTTTGAGTTTCAAAATTGTTCACTTCTCCGATTTTCAGTAATGTCGTTGTTTTTAATTTTTATTATTTAGACTGAAAGTTATTAACAGTCAAACTTGTCAGGTGAGAGGAAAAAAATTTGTATAAAGCTCGAAATTTTTCAATAGCAAATTTTTAAACTTGTAAATATTAAATAATAGTAATTGTAGTGATAATAATAATTAAAATAATATTAATAAAAATAATAATAATGAAAATTATAAAAATAGTAACAGCAACAATAATAGTAATAAAAATAATAAAATAATAATAATAAAAAAATAATAATAAAAATAATAATTATAATAATAATAATAATAATAATAATAATAAAAATACTTATAATAACAAAAATAATAAATACAATTAAAACGAAAATAACAAAAATAGTTATAATAATAATAATAGCAATAATATTAAAAATAATTATTATTATTATTATTCTTATTATTTTATTAATAAAATTTTTATATTATTATTTTTATTATTACAAAATAATTTTAATAACAATTCTAATAATAATTGCAATAATAATGAAAATAATAGAATAAAGAAAATACATATTTTTCGAGAGAAAATTTTCAAAAAAAAAAAATATTTACAAAAAAAATTAAAACGCTTTTTTTTGGAGTGGGGGAATCGAATCTCTCAAAAATACGTTATAAATAAAACATATCGACTTTCAGTAGTAAATGAAGAAAAAAAAATCTTATGACGAACGTATTTGGAAGAATTTCCTGAAATTTTTTTTTTTTCTTTTTTAAACCGAATGAAAAAAGAGGGAGAGAGAAATTTTCTAGACAAAAAACAAGAGAGTTAAGGCATGACAATTATATCGAAAACGAAAACGATATAATAATCGCCATAAAAAAAAAATTATTTTGATTCTGTCTTTTTTTTTTTTTATTTTTTAAAAGAGAGAAACTGATGTGAAAGTGAGTTGAGATTAAATAAAAGCAAAAAAACAACAACAAGAACAAAAAAATAATTTAATTGCAGATTAATAAATATTAATAAAAAAAAAAAAAAATAATTTAGTCACTAATATTAAGTAATTTTTTTTAAATAATTTTTTTTTTCCCGAGAATAGAAATGAATGGAAAATATATAATTTTTTGTTTGAAAAAATAACATGGAATGTGGAATTTAAAATTTAAAATAAAAAAATGAGAAGAAAAGATTGTAGCTTGTGCTTGATATTTATTAACTATATTAATCTCTGTGGTTTTTCATTCGTTCTGTTCGCAGTATGAAGTTGGTTGTTAGTTACTTTTTTGTTTCCCAACTTTTTTAATTATTTTCTTTTTCAATATTTTTTATTATTTCCATTAAAATTAATGTATTGAAAATCATTGAATTCTTGCAAAAAATTTCAGAATAATTCAATTCCTTCAAAAAATTTTATTATTCAGTAATTAAATTCTCGCAAAGAATTATTAAATTAAAATTAAAAAAATGTTTAAAACCCTAATTAAATTTCTTTGAAGAATTATTTTCAATTTTTTTTTTTTTTTTTTTTTTTTTTTGAATAATTGAATTTCTTTAATAATTTTAATTGGAATTTTTTAAAGTGATTAAAATTTATTAACAATTTCTTTCAAGGAATTTCATTAAAATAATTGGAAAACAATTAAAGTAATTGAATTCTAACAAAAAATTCCTTTATTTATTGAGTATAATCAATTTACAATTAAACTTTTATTAAAATTATTCATTGAAAATTAAATTCTTTTATATAATTTTATTAGAATTTTTCTAAATAATTACATTTTTTTGGAGAATCTCTATAAAATCTTTTATAAAAAAAATGTAATTTTTCTAAAATAATTTTAAATGAAAATTTTCAAAATAAATGAATTAAAGAAACAATTTTTTTCAACTTTTTAAAATTATTGTGTCAGGTAATAATTATAATTAAATATTTGATCATTCACAAGTTTACTAAAACTGTATTTTGAAAATAACTGAATTCCTGAGAAGAATTTTATTAATTTTCGAAAGTAATTGAGTTATTTGAATGAATTTTATTAAAAATTTTAAAAAATTGAATTGTTTTGAAGGATTTATTGAAATTGTAAAAAATAATTCTATTTCTTTCGAGAAATATTATAAAAGTTTTTAAAAAAATTGAATTCATTCATGAAATTATATTAAAATTTTATTAAAAAATATTGCGAACTTTTGCAAAAAAAAATTACTTTAAAATTTTAGAAAAAAATTTGATTATTTCGAAAAATTGTATGAAAACATAAAACAATTCATTTTTCTTTTTCAATATTTTTATAATTTTAAAATTAATGTATTCAAAATCATTGAATTCTTGCAAATATTTTAGAATAATTTTACAGATTTTAGAAAAATAATTGAATTTTGAGCAAATAATTTAATTCTTACGAATAATTTTACTAATTTTAGAAAATAATTGAAATATTTCGAAAAAATTTCTATAATTATTTATTTATTCATTTTTTTATTTTTACAATTAATTGAATTTCTGTGAAGATTTTACTAATTTTTTTTATTCAAGAATTCAATTACATTTTCACAAATATAATAAATTTCCTGGAAAGAATTCAATTATTTTCAACAATTAATAAAATTCCTCACAAAAATACAATTATTTTCTAAAATTAATAAAATTCTTCACAGGAATTCAATTATTTTCAAATATTAATAAAATTCTTTCCAGGAATTCAATAAACTTTGAAAATCAATAAAATTATTTACGTAAATTTAATTATTTTCAAATATTAATAAAATTCTTTAAAGGAATAGGGTCATTTGGGGTAATAATGTAAACGGAATATCTATTTTTCACAAAAAACGTTAGTTTTTTTTTGTTAAAAGGTAAAACGGACGGATTTCTTTTGCATGAACTTGTTACTTTACTTCCCTAGAAAAATTTTATGAGGTACAAAAAAATATTGATGCACCTGAATCGCCTAAAACTGAATGTTTACATTTACCCCGAGATGTTGAAATTTTCCTAAAATTCGGGGCAAATGTAAACACCTCTGTAGTTAAGCGAGGTTTAAGAAACAAGTTATTTCAAGCATACACTGTAAAAAAAATTTTGGAAATTTTCCCAAAAAAATTGAGGAAGCAAATTCACATAAAAAGTATAAAAATTTCCCACAATTTGGAAAAATTCCTTTAAAGATTTAGGAAAATTCCTAAAAATTTGTAAATATTCCTTAAAACGTTTAGAAAAATCCCTTTCCCAACAGAATTTAGAAAAATTTCAATTCGTATCGAAAAATTTCCAAACACTCAGAAAAATTACCATTTTTTTGGGAAAAAATTTTTTCTAAACACGTTTTAGGAAAATTCCCATGCAAAAGTTTGGAAAAATTTCCGAAATTTTTTACAGTGTACTACTGTCTTAAGGGATGGAAAAACTGAAAACAAATTATTCGTAGACGTATAGTAAATCAACCAGTTGACTGATAATGTATCTTATAAAAAACAATCAACCATTACGAAATTAGTAATGTAAAAACTTGAATAACTTAAACAAATTTTAATAGATTTTCATTCAACTTGGTAAAAAGTTTTTTTTATTTTTCTGAATAAGAATTCGAGTTTTCGAATTCTCGGGGTAAATGTAAACACTTAATTATTTATTAATTAAATTGACGAAAATCAAAAATCAAAGTCAATTTTTGATAGGGCATTAATAAGGAAGAATTACATATTTTTGTTAGATTTTTTAATTTATTTTTATGTTATCTTTTAATGCAAAAACGATTAAAAATCAAAGTTTTACTGTTTCAGTTTTTTTTTTCTCGCATTTGCATAAAAATAAATTAAAAAATCAAACTAAAATTTGTAATTCTTCCTTATTAATGCCTTAACAAAAATTGACTTTGATTTTCGTCAATTCAGTTAATAAATAATTAAGAGTTTACATTTAATTGAATAAATTACTATTTAAATGTATTTGAAACATTATGATGTCATAATAATTAAAATTCATTTAAAAAAATAAAATTTTAATTATTTTAAATAAAACGTTGAAATAAAAATGCACGCGCGCTCGCGCGCGTCCTTTTTTGCTATTATTCCATATAAAATGTCAAATTCGACCCCGTTGCGTTAGTTAAATATTTTGTCACCAGATGGTGTATCGCAGTTCTGCGGTTCCTTATAGCTTTTCAAAAATTAAATTATTCAAAAAAAATTCAATTTTAAATCTGTAAAGTTCATTTATTGTTAAAAATATAAATAATTAAAAAAGTGTATTATTCAACAATGCATTTAGAACATGCACGCGCGCTTGCGCGCGTATCTTATGCTAGTATTTTTTAATGAGAAAGAAAGAGAAAAATTGAAAAAATAAAACAACTAGCGCTCGAATTGGAAATTGAAAAAAAATAAAAAGTAGAAAAAGAGTGAGAGAGAGAGAGAAAGAGGAACGTAAATTGTTGGGAGAATGATAAAAAAAAGGGCAAATTAAATTTGCAGGAAATAAAAAAAAAAAAAAAAAGAAAATAATAATAAGCACGAGTCTAGTGCAACGCGTTCGTTGTATGTTGCAGTAAAATTGCGCTTTTCGATAATAATAATAATAAATATTATCTACTCTTTACGTATTTCGTTCTGTCGTTAAGATTAAAAAAAGAAGAGATTTCCAATTTCAATTCATGTCTGTAAATATTATGTTTTTATATTATATATATAAATATATAAATATATACATATTATACAAATTAAATAATAGTGGAATTATTTTTCAACCGATGTACTTTTGTATTTTTTTTTCCTTTTTTTTTACTTATTTTTCTATTTATTTTTATGTATTTTTATTTATTTTTATATATTTTATTTATTTTTTCAATTTTGCCTATTCAATTTATTTCTATTTTTGTTTTATTTTGTTTTATTTTTTTTATCTTATTTTTTATTTACTTTTTTATTTTATTCGCTTTTCTATTTTATTTACTTTTTTATTTTATTCGCTTTTTTATTTTATTTACTTTTTTATTTACATCATTTATTTTTTTTACTCTTATTTATTTTTATTTATTTTATATTTTATTTACTTTTTGTATTTACTTCATTTATTATTTTACTGTTATTTATTTTATTTACATTTTTATTTACTTCATTTATTTTTTTTTTACTCTTATTTACATTTTTTTAATTCTTTTTTTACATTTCTTACTTTATTCCGTCGCCATTTTTATTTTTTCCCCGAATTTTATAGCTGTATATTCAATTTAAGTCGAAATAAAGTGACCCAACCCTGAGGAGTAACCTGTGATTTTGTGTCTTTGGTATCCAAAGACATAATAATATTTAAGTCATTTAATTAATTTTATTTATTGTATTTATATTTATTTAGCAGCAAAGAAATTAGCAGAGTGACAATTATATTTATAATAATAATAATAATCGTGTTTATTTTTATTTTTATCATTATTTCCTTTTTAACAAACATTTACAGTTTCTCCGTTGCCATTTTTATTTTTCCCTGAAGTTTGTCTATAGATAGAATTTTACTCGAAATAAAGTGATAGAATTAGTCACCCAACCCTGGGCAGTAACCTGTGATTTTGTGACTTTGGAATCCGATGAGTTAATTAATTTTATTTATTTTGTAGCAAAAAAATCGGCAGAGTGACAATTATCCTTGTACTAATATATTAACAAGAACCGAATTTATTATTAAATAAAGAAAGAATATTTATTTACTATTTTTTATTGTTGTTTTTTTTATCAATATTATTTCTTTTTCAACAAAAAAACTGACCTATATTTGTGTCCTTTTCCATCCCGTGCATCTCGTTCGCGAAACTATTGTGCACTGGCCTTAACTATAGACAAGTGGAAAATTAAGCGACCCAACCCTGTGGAGTAACCTGCGATCCTGCAATTTTGTCTTTAGTGTACCGTAGGCGTACACGTGTAAGGCGTAAAGTGACCTAATTTATCTAAAACTTTATTTTATTATATTTTTTTCTATCCTTTTTCACATTTACTTTGCAGCAAAGCAAGCAAAGAAATTAAAAGTTGACAAATATCACTAGAATAATAACTAGTGGCGCTTTTGACAAGTGTCGCATTTGGGAAGTTGTCCACTCTCTGGGTAAGTAATCGCAGCGACCCAACGCTGAACTGTTCAGAGTTGGTGGCAATTTTCAGCTTCCACACCCTGGTCACAACACTCACGTCAGGCGTCAAGTCATTTAATTCGTGAAAAGAAATAATTTAAACATGTTTCAATGTTAATTAAAGAGTTAAAATAGTCGAAAAAAATAGTGAAAACAGTGGAAGAAGTAAAAGAAGTGAATTAGTAAAGTGAAGACTTATTCGTCAAGTATTTACAATCAGAAGAAAATGCCGTTTGTAAAAACACAAAGTGGCGTCGTTTTCATCGACCACGTTTTTCTCTTGATCCTCAACATTTTTCCTCTCAACGTAATATTTACGAAATTTTACACATGGAATTTTTCTCAGGTTAGTAATTAAATTTCTCTTTACAGCATATTTTTCCTAATTCTCTAAATTATAATGAAATGTTAATTTAAGTTGCAACACTTCTTAATACATATAGTCACTGTTTAATTAAAAGGTAATTGAAACGGATTATTATAAAAAGTAGGCTGGTATCTAATTGAATTATTTCGACTTCTGTTTACGAAATCTTCGAAAAAATTATTGACCATATTTAATAATTTTGAAGGCATTGTTTTAAGATAGTACCAAGCATTTTCTGTCGTACTTGTCGAATTATTCATTTCATTGTATTCTTCAGTTGTTGATTTGGTTTCCCAGATAGTGATTTTATCCTGAGACTGTAAAAATTATACACGAATAAATATCAATATTATTTTTTTGAAATCACGCAGATCCTTTAAATTTTTTTTTAAATCAATTATTATCGAGTATGAAGCCTGAATTAATAAATAATTTACCGTGGTTTGCTCCGCAATTGATGTTGAAAAATTTATGTTTTCTTCTGTTAAATTTTTGTCATTGACAGTTAAATAATTTGATGTTTTATTATCCCTTGATTTAGTAAAATTATTTCCCGTCTCATTAATTTCTTTATAATAATTTAACATTTCTGTGCAGAACAAGAGAAATGTACCGAGAATTGATATTGAAGAATTAATTTTTTCTTCTGTTGCATTTTCTCCATTGGCAGTTGAATAATTTGTTGTTACAATATTACTTGGTTCAGTAATTTCCTTTCCATCCACAATAATTTCTTTATAATTAGTTATTTCATTGTATTTTCCAGTTGTTGATTTGCTTTCCCAGATATTGGTTTTATTTTGGGACTATAAGAATTTTTACTAATAATTACATTTTTCATGGAAATTCGATATTTTTAAAAAAAAATTTTTGATAAAATTTTGAGCAAGAAATCAATTATTTTCATAAATTATAAAACTCATCGAAGAATTTCAATTATTTTTAATACTATTTTAAAAAATTAATTAATCGAAAAATTCAATTATTTTCACAAATAAAGTTTTCCACTAGAATTCAATTATTTAAAATAAAATTTTCATAAAAATTATTGAATTTCCAAAAAAAAATAATTATTTAAAACAATGTTTATAAAATTCGTATGAAGAATTCAATTATTTTCAAAAATAAAAAAATTTTTCACTGAAATTCAATTCTTTTTAAACATTTTAATAAAATTTTTCACAATAATTCAATTATTTTCGTAAATAATAAAATTAATATTAGGAATTCAATTATTTTTGTCAATTTTAATAAAATGTTTAGCAACCATTCAATTATTTTCATAAATAATAAACTTCATCTCAGGATTTCAATTCTTTTAAATAAAAATTTACAGGAATTCAATTATCTTTGTAAATATTTAAATTTTTCTTAAAAATTCAATTATTTTTTACAATTTTAATAAAATTCGATGTAAAAATTCAATTATTTTCTTAAATAATAAAATTCTTCTCTAGAATTCAATTTTTTGAAAAATTTTAATAAAATTCGTTGTAAAAATTCAATTATTATCGTAAATAATAAAATTCTTTTTAGAAATTCAATTATTTTCATAAATAATAAAATTCTTCTCTGGAATTCAATTATCTTTGTAAATAATTAAATTTTTCTCAAAAATTTAATTATTTTGAAAAGTTTTAATCAAATTCGATGCTAAAATTCTATTATTTTCATAAATAAAAAAATTTTTTTTAGAAATTCAATTATTTTTAAAAAAAATAAAATTCTTTTCAGGATTTCAATTATTTAAATAAAGAATAAAATTCTTCTCACGGGATTCAATTATTTTAATATAAATAATAAAATTCTTTTCAGGAATTCCATTATTTTTAAATGTTTTAATCAAATTCGATGCTAAAATTCAATTATTTTCGTAAATAATAAAATTCTTTTTAGTAATTTAATTATTTTTATAAATTGTAAAATTTTTACAGAAATTCAATTATTTTTAAAAATAAGAAAATTCTTCAAAAGAATTAAATTATTTTTAAAAATTCTGATAAAATTCTGTATATTAGATATTACTTTTCATAAATATAAAAATTATTTAACAAATTAGATTTAATAATTGGAAAAATGATTAATTTTTTGTATTTTAAATACGAAAAATTAATCTTGAAGTCAAATAATCTAATTTAAATAATTGAATTCTCGTAGAAGTTTCTAAAATAAAAATTTTTTTTGCTTAGCGTAATTCAATTTAGAAATTATGAAAAAATTCAGTCGTGAAATTTAATTTTTCGATAGCTACTTTTTTATTATATTTTTAATAATTTTTTTTTTTTTTTTTTTTAATTAATTATTAAGTGCGAAGTCTGAATTAATATATAATTTACCGTGGTTTGCTCCGTAATTGATGTTGAAGAGCTTATATTTTCTTCTATTAAATTTTTTTCATTTGCAGTTGAATAATTTGTTGTTTTACTATCACTTGGTTTAGTAAATTCATTTCCCTCGTCTTTCATTTCTTTATAATAATTTACCAATCCTGTACCAAAAAAGAGAAATGTACCGAGAATTGTTAAACTTAATTTATCAACCATTTTGTTTTTTTTTCTCTTCACTAACCTTTCACGATTGTTTCGGAATTAAAAAATTTTTTCCAATACGCATTTAATATATTCACAAATGCAATATTTTTTTTCTTTTTTAACAAACAATATAGTAAAATTTTGTAAATGATAAAAAATTGTTCACAATAAAAAAAAAACAATTTTTTCTGCTGTTATTTTTCAAAAGCAATAAAATTTTACTGTGTTAGTTCGTCTTTTTTATTTTTGAAAATATTAAATATGTTTCATGTTGGAGAAAAAAAATTTTTTGATAAGTATTTTTACTGCTTTAAAATATTCGAGAAATGATTTCAAGTTTATTTTTTCCATTCCTTTTATAATAAAAAATTTGCCAAAAGAATTCAAATATTTAAAAACAATTTTTTTTTAAATTTCTTTGCAAACATTTTTCAATTTTTTCATAAATAATCAAATTTTCACAGGAATTCAATTATTTAAAAAACAATTTTCATAAAATTTTTTCGAAAAAAATCAACTAATATTAAAAAGATTTTTATGAAATTCTTCGAAGGAAATTAATTTTTTTTTTTTAAATTTCTGTAAACTTTGTTTTTTATGAAGATAATTGAATTTCTAAATATAATTTTATTATTTACGAAAAATAATTGAATTTTTACAACTAATTTTATTAAAATTGTTTAAAAAAATTAAATTATTAAAATTCAATTATTTTTAAAAATAATTGAATTTCTGAAAAAAATTGTATTTAATTTTTTTTTTTTATTTTTGTAAAATTTTGTTGTAAAAATTCAATTATTTTCATAAATAATAAAACTCATCAAATAATTTCAATTATTGTTAATACAATTTTAAATGCATTCCCCGAAAAATTCAATTATTCCAATTTTTTCAATATTCACTATTTTAATAAAAAATTTCACAAAAGAATTCAATTTTAAAAAAAAATTCTTTGCAAACATTCAACTATTATTTTAATGAAAAATAAAATTTTCACAGAAATTCAATTATTTTTGAAAATAATAAAATTCTGATAGAAAATATATTAATTATTTAAAAAATTTTATTAAAATTCTTGTCTAAATTTCAATTATTTTCGAAAATTTTCCTCAATTCAATTACCTATTATTTTTATAATAATATATCTACTATTTCGATAAAGTTTTCCAAAATAATTCAATTATTTAAAAAAAAATGTTATAAAATTCTATGCAAACATTTAATTATTTTCATAAATACACTCGGGTCGTAAAGTTTCAGTACATTTGGACTGACTACATTTGAATGCTCGCTTCACTTTAAACTCAAATATCTCAGTAAAAATTGATGTAAAAGCTATCAAATTAGGATCATTTTAAAGTTTAATAAATTTAGAGTCAAGTGGGCCAAGATATAAACAATTTAATCATGTAAATATGTGAATATAGTCCTTTAAAGTATAAGAGATTTTTTGTGAAAATTTCATTTTTTAAATCTTGAGTTCAAGTCAATGCCAATTGAAGAAAAAATTTTTTTGAGAATTGTCAGTTCACCAATATGTAGTAAAAATCCCATTCTTTAATTCTGAACCAAAATCATTAACAAATATTTGGTATTTTTTTCAAATTCTATCAAAATAATTTCTCTTGCTCTCTAAATTTCTCAAAGGATATAAATTGCAAATTCGTCGATTCGTTCATTTGTTTTATCAATTAACCACACTTTTGGAAAAATATATAACCTTTGATACAAGCTCGAAAAACTATTAGCCAGAATGCCTCGAATTTGTCAAGCTGTAATTAATGCAAAAGGCGGTTATTTTTATAAAACAAAATCTAGTTGCAATTATATTTTCTTAGCAAATTGAATGGACTTATAAACTCCTGGATTTTATTGTAATTAAATAGAATAAATAATTATAATACTAATATTTAGGCTGGTAAATTATTCAATAAATACGAAAAAAACTTAAATTAGATAGTTATAATAATTATTACTATAATTATTATTATATTATATTTCATTATTATCTATTATAATGTTATAATAATAATTATTATTATTATTACTAGCCAAACTATCCGCGCGCAAGCGCGCGGGAATGTTGTATGGGGCTGCTTATTTTAAACAATTTAAAAAATTTTAAAGAAATAATTATTATAACCTAACAAAGAGATTTAACTAACTAAAATTTAAATAATTTTACTCAATGGTCTCAATTTAAATAGAATTTACATTACTAGACTTAAACTATGGCTAGAACAATTACAATTAGTATCTGGGTCATCTTTTGCATTGCTTATTTTATAAAGCCATTTTAAATTAAAAACTTTTTAAAGAAACAATAATTATTACACACTGAAAAAAGTTTTACTTGAAATAGCGATAAGTTTCTCTAGAATAACGAAAGTATTAATTGAAGCACTGAAAAATTTCGCTACTAAAGTGAAATCTGTAGTTCATCCAGCTAAATATTTTTTGCCGTGCATAACGAAAAAAGAATTAAATTAACATCAGATTTTCTACATTCAAAAAAAACGAATTCAAATAGAAATTAATCATTTTACAACTTAACCAAATTCACCCCAGAAATCACTGAATTCGATAATTTAGAAGAAAGTCAGACAAAAGCAGGGTTCCTACAGAATCTGGAAATCATGGAAATCATGGAAATGGTATGGAATTTTTAAAAGGCTTCTGGAAATCATGGAAATCATGGAAATGGTATGGAATTTTTAAAAGTTTCTAAATTTTTTCAGTTTTCCATTTTTTCTCTTGAATAAAAATTCAAAAAATAATAAAGCTAAATGGTATAAAAGAGAAGAAAAAATGTTGAATTTTAAGAAATTCGGATTTTTGAATTTTTGATAATTTTCGATAATTTTAGATTTTTTACCAAAGAGTCGAGACTATTTAATAAGTAAAGTATTTTCCAAAAGCACAAAAATAATGAAGCTAAATCCTATAAAAGAGAGGAAAAAATGTTGAATTATAGGAAATTCGGATTTTTGAATTTTTGATAATTTTCGATAATTTTAGATTTTTTACCAAAGAGTCGAGACAATTTAATAAGTAAAGTATTTTCCAAAAGCACAAAAATAATGAAGCTAAATCCTATAAAAGAGAGGAAAAAATGTTGAATTATAGGAAATTCGGATTTTTGAATTTTTGATAATTTTCGATAATTTTAGATTTTTTACCAAAGATTCGAGACTATTAAATAAGTAAAGTATTTTCCAAAAGCACAAAAATAATGAAGCTAAATCTCATAAAAGAAAAGAAAAAATGTTGAATTTTAAGAAATTCGGATTTTTGAATTTTTGATAATTTTCGATAATTTTAGATTTTTTACCAAAGATTCGAGACTATTAAATAAGTAAAGTATTTTCCAAAAGCACAAAAATAATGAAGCTAAATCCCATAAAAGAGAGGAAAGAATGTTGAATTTTAAGAAAATCGAATTTTTTCGAATTTTCATTAATTTTAGATTTTTTACCAAAGAGTCGAGACAATTTAATAAGTAAAGTATTTTCCAAAAGCACAAAAATAATGAAGCTAAATCCCATAAAAGAGAGGAAAAAATGTTGAATTATAGGAAATTCGGATTTTTGAATTTTTGATAATTTTCGATAATTTTAGATTTTTTACCAAAGATTCGAGACTATTAAATAAGTAAAGTATTTTCCAAAAGCACAAAAATAATGAAGCTAAATCCCATAAAAGAGAAGAAAAAATGTTGAATTTTAAGAAATTCGGATTTTTGAATTTTTGATAATTTTCGATAATTTTAGATTTTTTACTAAAGATTCGAGACTATTAAATAAGTAAAGTATTTTCCAAAAGCACAAAAATAATGAAGCTAAATCCCATAAAAGAGAGGAAAAAATGTTAAATATTAAGAAATTCGGATTTTTGAATTTTTGATAATTTTCGATAATTTTAGATTTTTTACTAAAGAGTCGAGACAATTTAAAAAGTAAAGTATTTTCCAAAAGCACAAAAATAATGAAGCTAAATCCCATAAAAGAGAGGAAAAAATGTTGAATTTTAAGAAATTCGGATTTTTGAATTTTTGATAATTTTCGATAATTTTAGATTTTTTACCAAAGAGTCGAGACAATTTAAAAAGTAAAGTATTTTCCAAAAGCACAAAAATAATGAAGCTAATTCCCATAAAAGAGAGGAAAAAATGTTGAATTTTAAGAAAAACGGTTTTTTGAAATTTTTCGAATTTTTTATAATTTTAGATTTTTTACCAAAGATTCGAGACAATTTAATAAATAAAGTATTTTCCACAATCAAAAGTTTGACATTAAATAATATATAAAAAATGTTAATACTTAACCCACAAAATTCAATTTTCAAAACAAACAAATGAATGCAGATAATTTGCTAACGGAAAGGAATCTTACGATTATTATAATGTATGATTATTATTATATTGCATAGTTATAATCATGTAACAATCAAAGGTTATATATTTTTCCAAAAGTGTGGTTAATTGATAAAACAAATGAACGAATCGACGAATTTGCAATTTATATCCTTTGAGAAATTTAGAGAGCAAGAGAAATTATTTTGATAGAATTTGAAAAAAATACCAAATATTTGTTAATGATTTTGGTTCAGAATTAAAGAATGGGATTTTTACTACATATTGGTGAACTGACAATTCTCAAAAAAATTTTTTCTTCAATTGGCATTGACTTGAACTCAAGATTTAAAAAATGAAATTTTCACAAAAAATCTCTTATACTTTAAAGGACTATATTCACATATTTACATGATTAAATTGTTTATATCTTGGCCCACTTGACTCTAAATTTATTAAACTTTAAAATGATCCTAATTTGATAGCTTTTACATCAATTTTTACTGAGATATTTGAGTTTAAAGTGAAGCGAGCATTCAAATGTAGTCAGTCCAAATGTACTGAAACTTTACGACCCGAGTGTAATAAAATTTTTACAGGAATTGAATTATTTAAAAAAAAAAAAAAAAATACTTCTCAGAAATTCAATTATTAAAAAAAAAAATAAAATACTTCTCAGGAATTCAATTTTTTAAACACTTTTAATAAAATTAGTTGTAAAAATTAAATTATTTTCGTAAATAATAAAATTCTACTTAGAAATTTAATTATTTTTATAAAAAATAAAATTTTTTACAGGAATTCAATTATTTTTGAAAATAATAAAATTTTCTCCGTAAGTCAATTATTTTTCTAAATAATAAAAATTTTTTTCTGTAATTCAATTATTTTGAAAAGTTTTAATTAAATTTGATGATAAAATTCAATTATTTTCATAACTAATAAAATTCATTTTAGAAATTCAATTTTTTTTAAAAATAAATAAAATTTTTTTACAGAAATTCAATTATTTTTAAAAATAATAAAATTATTCTCAGGAATTCAATTATTTTTAAAAATAATAAACTTATTCTCAGGAATAAATAAAAAACGCACTTGGAAATTGATAGAAACAATGGAAATAAAATTATAAATTTTTCACTTTATTGGAAGGAATTTCTTTGGAAAGTAAGAGGAAAATTAAGGAATCATGATGCAAGAGTGATTTTTTTTATTATAACATGAAAAATAAAATTATAATCTATTGACAATATTGAAAAAAAAATAATAGTAAAATTCCGAAAATGATAAAAAAAGCAATTTTTTCTGCAGTTAGTTTTATAAAAAGCAATAAAATTTTACTGAAGTTGGTTCGTGTTTGTCTTTTTGAAAATAAATTTTATTATAAGTATTTTTACTGCTTTAAAATATTGGAGAATATTTAGAAAAATAATTTAATTCTTGCGAAGAATTTTATTAAAATTTTTAAATAATTTATTTCTTTCGACTAATTTTATGCAAATTCCAATTAAAATAATTGAATTCCTGAGAAATTTTTATTATTCATAAAAAAATTCTACGAGAAATTCAATTTATTTAAAAATTTTAAATAAAAAAATAAATAATTTATTAACTAATTAAATGTTTCTTGAAATTGAATTCTCATATAGAGAATTTTATCGATGAATTTTTAAATAATTTAATTCTTTTGATTAAAAAAAAAAATTTCAAGAACAATTACCTACATTTTTCGAGGAATTCTATTAAAATTGTATTAAAAATAATTGAATGTTTACAACGAATTTGATTTAAACTTTTCAAAATATAATTGAATTTTGCAAAGAATTTTATTAAAATGCCTCAAAATTATTGAATTTTTGGAAAAATTTTGTTATTTATCTTTAATAATTGAATTCTTTGGAAGAATTGTTTATCTAAATAATTGAATTCTTAAGAAGAATTTTATTAAAATCTAAAAGAATAATTAAATTATTTCAAAAGAATTTGATAAAAATTGTATTTGAAATAATTGATTTCTTTGGAACAATTTTATTAAAATATTTGAAAATAAATAATAATTGAATGTCTGTGAAAAATTCTAATATTTTTTTCAATAATTGAATTCTTCCAAAAAATTTTTTAAAAAAATTTTTTTCAATAATTGATTTTTTCGAGGAATTGAAATTCAATTTTTAAGAATATTTCTGTAAAATTGTTTTAAAAATAATTGAAATTCTGCGATGAATTTTATTATTTATGAAAATTATTGAATATAGTTGCAAAGAATTTTTTTTAAAAAACTAAAAAATATTTTTTTAAAAAAATTTTTAAAAATAATTTAATTTCTGAGAAGAATTATATTACTTATATAAATATTTATTTTATTGCATCGAATGTTATTCAAGTTTTTAAAAATAATAAATTGAATTTATGGGAAGAATTTTATTATTTACAAAAATAATTCAATTCTTGCATCGAATTTTTTTATAAAAATTTATAGAATATAATTGAATTCTTGCGAAGAGTTTGATAACAATCTTTCTAAATAATTAATTATTTTAAAAAATTTTATTAAAATTTTGTTTTAAATAATTGATTTTCTGTAAAAATTTATTTATTTATATAAATAATTAAATGTGTGTGTAGAAATTTAGTAAAAAAATTTTTATTAAAATAATTCATTTCTTTCAAAAAATTTTATTAAAATGTTTAAAAAGAATTGAATATTTGTGAAAAAATTTGTTATTTTTGAAAATAATTGAATTCTTACAAAGAATTTAAAAAAAAATTTTTTTTAAATAATTGATTTTTTTCGAGGAATTAAACATTAATTTTTAAGAATAATTACACTTTTTGAGCAATTCCTGTAAAATTGTATTAAAAATAATTGAAATCCTGCGATGAATTTTATTATTTATGAAAATAATAATTGAATAGTTGCAAAGAATTTTATTAAAATTTTCAAAAAATAATTGAATTCCTCAGAAGAATTTTTTTTTTATAAAAATAATTGAATATTTGCAAAAAAAATTTTGTTATTTATAAAAATAATTGAATATTTGCAAAAAAATTTGATTAAAATGTTTAAAAAGAATTGAAATTCAGTGAAAAGTTTTGTTATTTTTGAAAATAATTGAATTTTTACAACGAATTTTATTAAAATTGTAAGAAATAATTGAATTCCAGAGAGGAATTTTATTCTTTTTTTAAATAATTGAATTCCTGAGAAGAATTCTATTATTTTTAAAAATAATTGAATTTCTAAAAAGAATTTTATTATTTATGAAAATAATTGAATTGTAGCAGCGAATTTGATTAATATTTTTCAAAATAATTGAAGTTTTCAGAAAAATTTTATTATTCACAATAATAATTGAATTCCTTCGAAGAATTTTATTAGTTATAAAAATAATTGAATTTTGCAAAGAATTTTATTAAAATGCCTTAAAATAATTGAAATTTTGGATAAATTTTGTTGTTTATCTTTAATAATTGAATCCTTCCAAAGAATTTAAAAAAAAATTTTTTTTAATAATTTATAACTTCGAGGAATGGAAATTAAATTTTTAAGAAGAATAAAATTTCTCGAGCAATTCCTGTAAAATTGAATTAAAAATAATTGAAAACCTGCGATGAATTTTATTATATTTATGAAAATAATTGAATAGTTGCTAAGAATTTTATTAAAATTTTCAAAAAACAAAAAAATAATTTAATTCCTGATAAGAATTTTATTATTTATAAAAATAATTGAATTATTGCGAAAAATTTTATTCAAAATGTTTAAAAAGAATTGAATTTTTGTTATTTTTGAGAAGTTTTTTTATTTCTAGTATTAGCGAATTTAAAGTAAATTCTAAAAAAAAAACAGAAATAGTAGCTTTTAGTGGCTGAAATCTAAAAAACGTATCCAAATAGTATCATAACGTACAAAAAGTAGTAAATTTAGTTTTAATAGATGAGTTTCGCGAAGCCTGTATTAGAAAAAATGATATTAATGTAAAAAATACAAAATTTACCAAAGATACTTTTATTTTCAATATAGTTTATTTCTATGAGGTTATTAAATCAGTTTTTTATTTATTTATTATTTTTTTTTATTAGTTAGAGAGTAAAATTACAGTAAGCTTGCAGTAAACTTGTCGTAAAATCATCTACTATCTGTGCGACATCCTTAATTTAACAATTCAACACATTTCATAATTGATACAATTTTTTTTAACAAAACACGACTTAATGACACTTTTTTATCTACAGAATAAGTTTCGATAAAGTAATTTTTTTCAAAATCATTGCTTATATTTATTAAATCCATGAGATTCTTTTTATTGCACTCACTGTACTCATCATCGTTAATGAATTGCCTTGGATAATTTTCATAATATATTTTTAATAGTTGTAGGAGTTGTTGAAGTATTTCTTTATCTTTTATCAATTGTTTTTCACATTTTTTTGGCATAAATTGTGAAAGTTGCTCAATAGTAATACTTGGGATTACACCCAAATATGCAGTTCGGTTTATGTGAAAATAATAATTTTCTGTTGCACTTTCAGAAATGTAAAAAATTATTTTCGAAATATTCTTATTCTCATCATTGTATGTTTCACTTTTTTCACTGCATTCATCCTTTACAATCCTCTCAAAATATTGAATGAAAAATTTGAGACGGTTTTTGAATTTTTTATCTTTCTCGTGAAGTTGATTCAAATTTTTATTGCTATTGTTTCTGTAATTTTTACTTTCTTGATCGTCTTCCGTTAGCTGCAAGAATATATTTTAAATATTAGTTTTTTTTTTTTTTTTTTTTTTTTTTTTAAATCATTAAGGGCATTTGAACCTTGATGACGTTACAGATTATGCAAAGCATGTGTGACGTCATCAAGGTTCAAATGCCCTTAAAGACCCAAAAAAAATGTATAGTCAACAGTTGTTAAAGTAGAAAAAGAAAAACTTTAAAATAGTTATATTGATGTTTTAATTTTTAAATACTTTTAACTGTTAATTTTTAGGATTTAGGAAAAAAAAACTGTGATTGTTACGCAAAAATAGTATTGATAGAAAAGTTTGTAAATTACCCTTAATCGGCGACATTGATTTATTTTTTCCACTTGATTTTTTATATCATTGTTTAAAGAATTTCTGTTAGTATTCAGTTTTCCAAAATCAAACTTTTTAATAACTTCATTTAATGATTCGAATTGCAATAGACTATGAATGTAGCATTTTGAGTATTTTTTGCTATCAATTTGAGTTGGAAAATTTGTGTCATATAAATGTAATAATTCCAAAATATTTTCAAATATTTCTTTATTTTGTAGCAGATGTTGCCGTTCACATTCAACTGGCATTAGATGATTGATTGCCAAAGTTGCATTTTGAATCAAGTTAAAATCAACGGTAAAATTGGGAAATGTGTGAAATATGTAATTATTATCTGCAGCGGCAGTGATAATGTCAAACACTTTCTTAAAATCGTTTATGTTTTTATAAATATATTTGCATTTATAGTTATTTAAAATTTTATCAACATATTTAATAGCAGTTTTCAAATCGTTTTTGAATTGTTTATCTCTAGGAGGAATGTCATTAACTGCTTTTAAGGTACTTCCTGCATTATGTACCATTATTTTTGGCATTGTTGTAATTTTTGGTTGTGTCATTATTTTTTCTGTTGTAATTTTTGGTTGTGCCATTTTTCTTGCCGTTGTAATTGTTGGTTGTGCCATTTTTCTTGCCGTTGTAATTGTTGGTTGTGCCATTTTTCTTGCCGTTGTATTTGTTGGTTGTGCCATTTTTCTCGCCGTTGTAATTTTTGGTTGTGCCATTTTTCTCGCCGTTGTAATTTTTGGTTGTGCCATTTTTCTTGCCGTTGTAATTGTTGGTTGTGCCATTTTTCTTGCCGTTGTAATTGTTGGTTGTGCCATTTTTCTTGCCGTTGTATTTGTTGGTTGTGCCATTTTTCTCGCCGTTGGTTTTATTATTCCTGACCGTATTGTAGTTGTTGACTGTCTTTCAATTTTCCGATTAGTCGTAGCAGTGAAACGAGCCGTTGTAATACCATCTCGATTTTTAGTAATTACACTACTTTTGCCATTATAATCTTGAAAATAATGAAACATACCCAAAAGGATGCAGAGAAAAATACCAAAAATTTGTAGAGATAATTTGCCAGCCATTTTGTCTTTTTCTTTAAAAACCGCACGTAGTGGAAGTTTGAAACAAAAAAATATCTCCTAAAAATTGAGACACTGTCGTCATTATATACAAAAGGAATACAAAAAATTGACAATTGTAACAAATCTATTGGACCAAAAGCACTTAATACAGACTTTAAAAAAAAAAAATAACCAATAATAAACTATCGTTTTCGTTCTACAATAATAATGCAATCCGTAGCCAAGAAATATTTATTCGTGACACAAAAGAAACTAATAAATGTGCTTAGTTTCAAAAGAAAATTATTTTCTATTTTATCTTCGTTTTTTTTTTTTTTGATCGAAAATGTCGTTAAATTTATGAAAATAAACGTTCTTAGAAGTTTAGATTATACACAGAGGTCTGAATGGCTTTTTTATATTTTTGATATCGGAGTGGTTTGCAATATGTATTTTTGTCCTCTGAACGGAAACTTGGATACAAAACATTAGCACGTCTGGATTTTGAAAAAAGTGGGGGAGGGTCACTAAAAACAAATTTTTGGGATTTAAAGATCACTTTTCTCGAAATCCTGAAGTGCTAGACAATTTTAGAACCCGGGATCGTATTCAGCGGACGAAATTACATTACAAACGACTCCCATGTCAAAAATAACGAAAACACAAATTTTTAGGTTTCTACCCCCACTTTTTTCAAAATTCCGAAGTGCTAGACAATTTCCGAACTTGGGATCGTATTCAGGGGACGAAATTATGTAAGAAACGACTCCCATGTCAAAAATAGGGAACAAAAAATTATTTTTCGATTTCTACCCCCACTTTTCTTAAAATTCTAAAAAGATGGACAATTTTAGAATCTGGGATCGTATTCAGCGGGCAAAATTACGTTAAAAACGACTCCCATATCAAAAATAGGGAACAAAAAAGTTTTTAGATTTCTACCCCCCACTTTTCTCAAATTTTTGAAGTGCTAGACAACTTTAGAACCCGGGATCGTATTCAGCGGACGAAATTACATTACAAACGACTCCCATGTCAAAAATAACGAAAACACAAATTTTTTTTGTCTCTACCCCCACTTTTTTCAAAATTCCGAAGTGCTAGATAATTTTGGAACCCGGGATCGTATTCAGGGGACGAAATTATGTAAGAAACGACTCCCATGTCAAAAATAGGGAACAAACATTTTTTTTCGATTTCTACCCCCACTTTTTTCAAAAAATGTATTTCTTTTCGATTTTGCGCATAAGGGTCGTAAAGTACACATTTCAAGCTTTTATTCTATCATGAAGATCTCAAGCACGTAAGTTTAGAGATAATGAAATATTTTTAAAGCTCTCAAAAACTTTTGGGGGGGGGGGGGGGTTCTCACTCCTACTTTTCTCAAAATCCTTACTTTCTAGACAATTTTGCAATTTAGAATCGTGTTCAGTGGACAAAAATACATAAAAATCGACTCTCATGTCAAAAATAGATAACAAACAATTTTTTTTGTTTCATTACACCCACTTTTTTCAAAAACCTAAAGAATTATGCCATTTTTAAAAGTGGGATCGTGTTCAGCGGTAAAAAATACATAAGAATTCACTCCCATCTCAAAAATAAAAAACAAAAATTTTTTTTTGCCCTATTACCCCCACTTTTTTCAAAAATATAGCGAGTTAAGTTATTTTGGAACCTAGGATCGTGTTCAGCGGTCAAAAATACACAAGAATCCACTCCCATATGTCAAAAATAGTGAAAAAAATTTTATTTTGATACTTTACCCCCACTTTTTTAAAAAATTGGTTTTTTTTAGTTTTGCGCTCATGAATCTTAAAGTGAACGTTTCCAGTCTTTTTTTCGTCTCTAGCGTATTATATAGATTAAAAAGAAATATATAAATTTCGAAAACACGCTTTTTTGGGCTTAAACCCCTTTTTTCAAAATTTTCAAGTGATATAGACAATTTCAGAACCCGGGATTGTATTCAGCGCACGAAATAACATTACAAACGATTCCCAAGTCAAAAATAACGAAAAACACAAATTTTTTTTATCCCTACCCCCACTTTTCTCAAAATTCTAAAGTGATAGACAATTTTAGAATCCGGGATCGTATTCAGTGGACAAAATTACATTGGAAACGATTCCCATGTCAAAAATAAGTAACAAAAAATTTTTTTCCAATTTCTACCCCCACTTTTTTCAAAAAATTCGATTTTTTTTTGGTCCTGCGCATAAGGGTCTGAAAGAGTACGTTTCAAATCTTATTTTCTCTCTAGTAAGTCAGGGGCCATTCACAAACTACATAAGGATTTAAGGGGTCCATTCACAAACGACCCCTAAGGGTAGAAGGGGGGGAGGGGGGTAATATAAAAATTGCGCTAATGTATTTAAAATTTTTTACAAAGGGCGAGGGGGGGGGGGATTTTCAAAAAAATTCCTTTACGAAATTTTTGAATGACCCCTTATTTATTATTATGTATTAATATTATTATTCAAAACCTGCAAAAATACGTTTTTGTTGGGGGGTGGGTCTTTCCCCCACTTTTTCCAAAAAATCTGACGTATTCTACTCTTTGAAATACACTTTGATATCAAAAGTGAATAAAAGGTCGAATTTCTAGTAAAAATTTTAATTCGAAATAAATCTTTTGTATTTAATATTAATTCAAATAAATTAATAAATATTAAACAAAATTGTAAAAATTATTAATTATTATTAATTATTTTTACGGAATAAACCCGAAAGTTTCTAAGTACAACTGTTTAGTGGACGCAAAGAGCATGAGTTAGAAAAGGACAGAATTATATTTGCGTCCTTTTCTATCACATGCATCTTGTTCTCGAATCTCGAAATTATGAAACTGTTGGTAAATAAACGAAAAAACTTCTGGTCAGTTAACTGCGGTCGGTAACTAAAAAAATTTAATTCCCTACATTATCGACTCATTATCGACTGTAAACTTTCGCTTCCGCTCGATAGGGGAGCGCCGCGAGACGAATCCTAGACAAGGGAGATTTCTACTTTATCACTACAGCCATTTAAATTTTCCCCGTCAGAAGTTTAATTTGTTTTTAATGAGGGAGAGAGAGAAAAAGAAAACAAACAAGAAAAATAGTAATAATTATTCCCAAAGAGAATTAAAATTTTTGTTTTCTATTGTCTCTTTAATTCCACAACAAATATTCCTCTTTTTATTTCGCCGTCTGTCTGTGTGTTGGCCCCTCTCCAGCTTTCACTCTGTGTCTCTCTTATCTCCCACCAGTATTAAGTTGAGCATCTAAGAAGCAACACAAGACAAGAAGGCTTTCTTTCTCTTTGATTTTGCTTTGCGCCTATGGCCCGTCGTGTTGACCCATCGTTGACCGGTCGGGGGCGTGCAAAGTGCTGCTCTCGCTCATCGTCGCGTTGTTGATTCCCGCAACAATGGGCGGACGCAAAACTATTTAACGCGCGGATAAAGTGGGGTTTCACAAATTGGCCGCCAGTTGGTGGTGTGCGTGGTTTTTTAATTTCAAAAAGAAGAAGAAGAAGAAGAAAAGAAAATTAAACAAGTGCGCGTGTGTGTCGTTTTATTTCTATATTAATTCCATACATTTTTTCGCTTAATAACTGAAATAAAAAAAAAAAGTGTCTTGAACCCTTCGTTTCTCGTGTGTGTGTCAGTGTCTTTTCCACTCTTTGAATCTCTTAGCTTGCTCTTAGCCTTAGCGAGAGAAGAATTTGTTTTATATTGAGAAAGCCAAGTAGCAAGTTTCAACCTGCGACTCATACACGTTCCTTATTTCATCTTCTTCTCTTTCTCTGTTCGTTCGCGTCTTTAAAAATCCCCCCGAACCATTCGCCGGAAATTGAAATTATTTTTCTTTTTCTCTAATACAAAAAAATTATCTTTCGCTTTTTTTTTTAAGGTTAGAAAATCGATTCTCGATCGGAAAAAAATATCCCCTTTCTCTATGTGACTCGGTGACTGTTAATATTAATATTAATAATACTAAAAACCTTAAAAACAAAATGTGAAAAATAAATTTCTAAAAAATTGTTTGAAAAATAGAGGAAAAATGTCACATAACATGTGGTGAGTGATGTTGGACGCGTGAATATTGGAAAAAAGTGTAAACATGTGATATCGAAAGGATTAAAATCCCTTTGTGGTGTTAAATTACAAAAAAACGACGGAAGAGAATTTTTCTCGTGGCTCTTGCGAAGTGAGAGGTTTTCAAAATAGGAATTCGTCTCTTTTTTTACCGAAAAACAGCTGGAGTGCTCGATGTTACCTTGAAATTTCTTCTAAATGGGCGAATAAAAAAAAAGGTGAGTTCCTGAAACATTTTTTTTTCCTTTTCCTCTCCTTTTTTCCTAAATTGAGAATACCGTTACACCTGTGTTCTCTTATTTTTCACGCTTGGTCCTCTTCTCAATTATTCTCGAGGAGAGAAATTGTTATTTTCCGTAAAATTTTTTCTCCCCCTAAAAATTCATTATTTTCAGGAATTACATTCTCTTCTTTTCCTAATACAAAATTCTCTTCCGTCGATAAGGATTCCAACTATTTGGAGGTTATGTTATTCAATGTTTGTTGCGAGATGAAACTTTTTCAACTTTTTTTTTTTATTTTTTGCTTTATTTAATATTAATATTAAAATTACTTGAAATATTATTTGTATAAGTAATTGAGTATTAATATAATATAATATAATAAATATAATATATATTTTTTATTAATAATGATTTAAAAGTAATTAAAAATATTACATAAATAATTTATTTATATTTATTTGTTCATGTATTATTTTTTTCTACTATTTTTCCGGCTACAAAACAACAGTTAAATAATGAAGAATTTTTCGTCTAATTGAATATAATGATTTATTAATTTAATATTTAATGAAATAAGTAATTAAGTATCTCGCGTGTGTGCATTTATTATCGCAAAAATTAAATACTTCCTGGCTTACTTTCATAAATTCATTATACTTATAGTGATAATTAATTCAAGATTACAATCAGAATCATTTATATACATATATATTATACGTACATTGTGTGGTAGAAAAGAATTTGTAATTTAAATATGAATTTAAACGATTTAAATATTTTTTCTTCTTTCATCATTTAATTGTATGACTTTTAAGATTTAAAAAAAAAATTATAGATTCAAAAATAGGGGCAATATAATATAAAAATTTTTAGAAAAAAAAGTATTTATATGTATAGTCACTGATATTATTTGGACTAATTGTTTGGTGACAAGAAGAAGAAGGAAAGGAAAAAAATTAGGGTCATTTAAAGAATTTATTATCATTGATAGTGGCTTAAAAGAAAAACAAAGTGATAAAAATTTTATTTTATTTGATTATTGTTTATACAATGTATGTACTTTTAATTCGCTAATACTAGAAATAAAAAAAACTTCTCAAAATTTAAAGTCTCAAATTCTTTAAAACGATTCAATTATTTTCAAAAAATATTCAAAATTCCATTTTTAATATTTAGTATTTTCATAAAAAATTCTCAAAAGAATTCAATTATTTAAAAACAAATTTATAAACTTCATCCAAAATTCAATTATTTTCATAAATAATAAAATTTTCACAGAAATTCAATTAATTTAGAATAAAATTTTCAAAAAAATCAATTATTTAACAAAATTTTTATACAATTCTTCACAATAATTCAATTACTTTCACTATTAATATCATTTTTCATGGAAATTCAATTTTTTAAAAAAATTTTAATAAAATTCTTTCCAAGAATTCAGTTATTTACATAAATGATTCTTCGAAAGAATTAAATTATTTACATAAATAATTCTTCGAAAGAATTCAAATATTAAAGATAAATAACAAAATTTTCCCGAAATTTCAATTATTTTTGAGGTATTTTTAATAAAATTCTTTTCAAAATTCAATTATTTTTATAAATAATAAAATTCTTTGTAGGCATTCAATTATTTTAAAAAGTTTTAATCAAATTCAATTATTTTCATTACTAATAAAATTCTTTTTAGAAATTCAATTATTTTCATAAATAATAATCAAATTCTTTTTAGAAATTCAATTATTTTTATAAATAATAACATTTCTTGCAGAAATTCAATTATCTCAGGAATACAATTTTACAGAAATTGCTCGAGAAATTTAATTATTCTTAAAAATTTAATTTCAATTCCTAGAAAAACACAAAGTTGTTTAAAAAAAATATTTTTTTTTAAATTCTTTGGAAGAATTCAATTATTTACAAAAATATTAGAATTTTTCACAAGAATTCAATTATTTTCAAATATTTTAATAAAATTCTTTGTAAAATTCAATTATTTTTCTAAATAATAATATTCATCACCGGAATTCAATTATTTTTAAAAGTAATAAATTTCTTCTTGGAAATTCAATTATTTAAAAAAAATTCTAATAAAATCGTTCTCAAGAATTCAATTATTTGTAAAATTAATAAATTTCTTTTTGGAAATTCAATTATTTTTAAATATTCTAATAAAATCGTTGGCAATAAATTCACTTATTTAGAAAAATATTAAAATTTTTTACAGAAATTCAATTTTTTTAATATAATTTTAATAGAATCTCCCGAAAGAATTCAATTATTTTGTACAATTTTATAAACAGTAAAATTCTTTGCTGGAATTTAATTATTTTCAATACAATTTGAATAGAATTTCACTAAAGGGTTCAATTATTTTTTTTTTAAATTTCTAGAAAAAATACAATTATTTTTAAAAATATCAATTAAAATCTATTATTTTCAAAATTTTTATTAAAATATTCTTTCAAAATATTCAATTATTTTCAAAAATTCTAATAAAATTCTTCGAAACAATTCAATTATTTTAAAAAATATTTAAATTCTTTGAGACAATTCAATTAGTTTTATAAAATAGTAAAATTGTTCGGAGCAATTCAATTATTTACAAAAATTATTCCCGAAAATTCAATTATTTTGAAGCATTTTAATAAAATTCTTTGCAAAATTCAATTATTTTTATAAATAACAACATTCATCACAAGAATTCAATTATTTAAAAAAATTCTAATAAAATCGTTCACAAGAATTTAAATTCAATAATTTTTGAAAGTAATAAATTTCGTCTTTGGAAATTCAATTATTTAAAAATATTCTAATAAAATCGTTGGTAATCACTTTTTTTTAGTTTGAAAACTACTTTTTGCTACTTTTTAAAAATTAATTATCGAGTGCGAAGTCTGTTACTATTATTTTATTATTATTAACATTATTATTTTAAAAAATTTTAATTTTCAAGTTTTTCTATATTTAAAAATGAAAGAAAGAACTTGGTAGCTCTATCGCTTTTTTGAAATCAGAATATCTCTCTTGTGAAGTGAATTACTTAAAGATACTGATTGAACTAAAAACTTAAAAATAAAAAAAGAATAATAAATTCTTTCCTTTATTTCTAAGTTTTCAGTTTTGATTTTTGTATTTTTATAATTTTACGATAAATTTTCAAGTTTTTTTTATTTTTCTACTTATTATTTGCTATTTATTTATTTTTATTATTATTATTATTATTATTATTATTATTATTATTATTAACATTATCATTATTATCATTATTACGTATGACTCGTTATTAATAGTTATTAAATTGAAATGAAACTTTGGAGTTTGTTTGGTGGGAAAATGAAATACTTCCTGTTGGGACAATGATCTTTGGCGAGAGCGCAGATGTATTAAAATAATACGAGTCAATGAGTGATCATTTAAAGTAAATGAAACAATCAGTGTCTTTAAGTGACTCACTTCACAAGAGAGATATTCTGATTTCAAAGAAAGCGATAGAGCCTCCAAGTTCTTTCTTTCATTTTCAAATATTTAAAATACAGTTTCCTTATTTTGGAATTAATTCATCAGAAATTTTTTTGAAAATAGCGGTAGGTACAAAATTTTCATAAAAGAAAAATTTTTTTTATATATTTGTGAAAAATATAAATTCTAGTTGAAATTTTATTCGAGATATGTCGAGTAACGAGGAAAGGAAAGATGTTTTATTAATAAAAAACAATTTTTCTAGAGTTTAGAGTGGGGGAAATTTAGTTAATAAAAATAGAATTTTCGTGGTACGTAGGCAATAGTGTTAAGTTCGTTTATGCAAAAAAATATGCAACAAATTAGAAAGTAGAAGGTTAAATTACAATCGTTTAATTTTGTACCAAGAGAATTGAGATTCTCACGTTTTTTTTTTATAATTGTCTAGGAGGAATTTAATTTTTCCGTTCTATTTTATAACACATAGTAATAAGAAAATCAATGCGTGTTGTAATAAAATACACAAATGGAAGTTGATTTAGAGAACTGGTTCTTTTTTTTTTTTTTCTTTAAAATATTCTTTTTATAATATGACATTTGATTGGAATTGATAAGCGAGAGCGCGAGAGTTGCGCAATTACAATGTGTGGAGAGAAATTATTATCAAAGCGCGCACCTCTCGTAATAAATACACACACACAAACACAATTTTCAACTTGTTACTCGAATATTTATTAATGATAAAATCAAAATTATTCGAAACGATTTAATTATTGTCATTCGATATTATAACGTGATAATTTATTGACATATAGGTGAGAGTTTAATCTTCTTTTATGTATCTCGAAAAATGCCTTTTCAAAAAGTAAATTTCTTTCTTAACCTACTTTTGGACATTCTTTAATTGGATTTTTTTTATTTGATTATTTGACAAGTATTTTTTTTTGGGTAATTATTGTAATGGTTTGAGTTTAACTTCTTATTCTTAAAATGATGCGGTGTATTTAATGGGAGGTTTAACAATGGAGTGTGTAACATGAAATGTTTTATGGCATTAATCATATTTAATAGGGTTCGGATTCTTTGTATACCTAAACATTTACTTTAGTGTGACAAACTTATTTACCATTAGGATCTGTTTTGATAAAACTACTTTTAACATCTTAATGGGTAACATCTTTAAGATACTTTCGAAAGCAGCTTCAAAAATTAGCACCTTTTACAAACCCTCTTCTATAAACAAAAAAAAAACCTTTTTTAGCTTCAATTTTTAGATTAAATCTTTAATTTAATACATACGACCTAATTCTAGAATCATCTAAACAAAAAAGTAGACAATTTGTCAAAAATTACCCTCTTACGATTTGACATGACTAAGAGTATAATTAATTTTCAGAGATTAAAAAGATTTGATTTGGCTTTTTTGTATTTCCAGTGAGCATGGAGAGAGGAGAAGAAGTTTACGAGGGTTCTTCTATCGTCGAGGGATGAAAGTGAGAGAAAAAGATGGCAACAATATCGGTCGAGGCAGGTGCTGAACCAATGGCCTTAGAAATGTCGGCAGGTGCAAATTTAGGGACTATTCCACGTCGTGTAAATCTGGAATTTCCACCACCACCAACGTATCCACCACCTCACAATAATCATACAAATAATTGTTCAAATATTCTCGTTGATAATTCCTGTAGTAATATGTCAATGATTCCCACCTTACCGAGTGGTTCACGTCTCAGACAATATCAAGACTATTCATACGCTTATTATGAACCAAGTACAAGTGCAATTAATAATTCATATCCAATGGAGTCAACAAATCCGTTTATTCATCAAAATATCGATAATATTGACGCCTATCATAACGTATCGAATCCATTTTCTCTCGACATTGCCAATTCTTATTCAGGCGATAATAATCAAAGGCGAATTTATCAACAAAATCATTATCAATCGAATCATTATGTTACGAAGGAAATGAATCCACAAAAGAGGCATACTTACGTAACACGTTATGGAACCGAGGAGAATATCTACGAGGAAATTTCAGATCTTGGGTAAGTTTATTGTTATTATTAAAAAAGTTCAAAGTAGTTCCGAATAATAAGAATTTAAATTTTAGGCGTCAATGTCCTCGATCGATTCGTGGATCCAGACAATCGTTGGTAGCCGAGGAAGTGCGTCGTGTACAATATCGTCATCGACGTGTCCTCGGTGAATTAAATCTCAGCGTTGAAGCAATGCTAATGCCAAAGACAATCGAAGGAACGGAGAGCATTGCCGAAAATCCAAAGGACACATCAACTGACGAACTACTCGGCAATATGAGTCCAACCGATCAACTCTTATCACCAATAGCCTGCGATTTAGATTCTGGTTTTAGTGGCAGTTCCAGTGCAAGTTACAGGTAAGTTCCCCCTTCTTGATTTCCCAAAAATTCAAAAATTCCCCAATCCTAAATTTCTCTTTACATTTTCAGATCTGGACTTGGCTCCCTAAGAAGAGGAGTCGTAAATCAAAGAAATAATAATTACGAGGCAAATCAACGGAAAACAAAGGCGGCTATGATCTGGAAAAAGGGTTGGAAGAAGTTACAGGCCTTGGGAAGTAATTCAGAGAAGCAGAAAAATGGTGAGTTTCTTTTTTTTTTATAATCAACAAAAAAAAAACGAAACTAATTATGAAAAAAGAAAAGATTATTTCAGCTTTGAGTATCATTTTATTCGACCGATAAATATAAAGAGGGGTTAAGTGTATTCAAAGAGTCTCTCGCGCGTTTTAAATGAATTATATCGTGCGATAACCTCAAAGCAAACGTCCCTGGACCAAGATCATAAGACGTTTCTGATATAAAAATTGATGGAGAGAAATGTATATTATAACAAAGAAGTGACTGATACGATAATATCATTTTTCTTGATATACACGTTGTATCATAAAGAAATTCTCGTAAATTGAAGAAATAGAAAATAGAGAAAATTAAAAACAAGGATTAATATTCCAATGATAAAAACCTTTCTTGTAAAGAAAGGACTATTTGGAAATAATTAAAATGGCATTTTTTTGGACCCTTTTTATGCTCTTTTATATTATAAAAATTCTTGGAATAAGTGGACGAGGTGTTTCAATAATATTGAAACGTAGTGAGAAAAAAGGGTTCTTTTGGAAAACTGAAAAGACATTTTTTGTGGCATTTTTATGCCTTTTGAGATAGATTCTCAAGATCTTCGTTTGCATGTTTGGTAGTATAGTAATGATGCAAGTTAATTTTATATAGTTCTTTTAATTAAAAATTTATTCTCTTAGTTTTTAATTTAACTTTTTTTTGTATTATTAAATTTTGTATTTCTTTTCAAATTAAAAAAAAAATTTATTTGTATTTTTTTTATGATTATGTAAAAACTTGTTACGAGTTTATTTTTGTACTCGAAAAAGTTAATATAAAAGTAAATCTTTGTTTCTTTTGTACATTGTTTTCTAAAATTAATGTCGGTTACTTGCTGTCGCTTTCTTTCTGTTTCTCGTTGTTGCAAATGCTTCGCATCTCTGTTGTGATACGTTTGCAATGAATGAATTTCAAGAAAGAAAACGACTAAAGATTTCGAAAATAATTGAAATTAATTCTTAAAGCAATGTACCTAAAATTGAATACTTTAATTCATTAATTTTTTATTTCGATTTCTTAATATTCCGTCTTTAATAACTTTGGTAATTATTTTGTTTTTTCAAAATTTAACGTTCTTTATTTTGAATTTTTAATTAATTTTGATTACTATTTTTACGTTTCTAAAACGTTTTAGTTTTTAAAATTTGTTTTAAGTTTAAAATCTGGTTCAGTAGATACAAGAACTGTATAAAATTAATATTCTCTCAGTATTCATGTTTTTTTACCGCAGACGGTTTTCTTTTTAACATAATTTTGCAAAAAAAGTTGAATTTTAAAAATCTAGTTTTTACAATAACTAAAAGAATTTGAATTTGAGTAATTTTAGTACAATTTTTTTTACTTTTTTAAAAGCATTCAATGAAGTTTTGTTAGTATTTGGTTTCTTTTCGTTTTTATATGATAAACGATTGTGTCTTTAAAGGTTATGTCAATTTAAAAATATAATTCAAGATTACTGTAAATTTTATAAAGAAACTATTTTTTAGGTTGCATTGATTTCTAGTGGGAAAATGTTTAATTTTCGTAAAGAAATAGATTAATCGAAAACGATAGATTGTGAGATTAATTTTTCTCTTTTTCCTTTAGAGTAAAAGATTTTGCAATCGATCAAAAGGCCCGATGTATAGTATGAATTTCAATTAGATTGCTTCGTCTCCTCACTATGTATCGTATTATATCCTTGGCTGAGTTGCTTTATTTCCAAGTACCGACAATTAATTCTAATGATAAACGAAGATGAATTTATATTATATATATAGTACAATTCACTCACACAATTTCTCAAAATGCGCGCTTTATTATTACATCATTTAACATCTATTCTATGCTTACTAACTAGACTAGAAATTTTTTTTATCTTCAATATATTTATTTCTATTATGTAGAGAGATTAAAAGAGGTAGTTAATTACTTAAAAAACGGTTAAGAATTTTCTTTTACTACAAATTTATTTTTATTACCGTAAGATTAAAATTTTTTTTTTTTAAATTGTTACCTATTGGGAAATTTGTGTTTTTTGTTAAATTTTAAAAAATAGTTTTTAAAAAAAACGAATATAATATTATGTCGTTAAACTAGAGGGCTCAAGTGATTAGAAGATCCGATCCTGGGCAGCATCGCAATGCATCTTCGTGTCCTTCACTCCCCCTCCTCCCTTCGGGGCCCATCATAAGTCGGTGGCTTCACTGGAATTTCAATTGAACAAAACTAGATTTATTTTTGTTTATACCGTTATATTCAACATTATATTCTCTTAGAATAATCGAAATTTTAATTGACATAACCTTAAAATAGATGAACAACATTTATCTTTCACCATAGTAATGATAAAATGAGTTTTTTTCAGTAGAATTTATCGTTGTTTTTTTTTAATAATTGGGATAGCAGAAATAAAGAAAAATAAAATGATTATTAATTACTAAAAAAACGTAAGAAAAAAATGAAAATAGGAGAAATTTTAATAAAACATGCGTATGTTAATAAATATAATAATTCAAATGAAAGTACAAGTCATTTAATTAAAGTATGTGTACTAAAATTACTCAATTTCTTTTAAATAATGTCTTTAGGCTTTCTGGTTAAAAAATTAAAGTAAATTGTTTAATACTGAAACATGATCTCAAAATCAATATTAGTTCACTGTGTTCGATAAATATACAAAAATATTATACAAATATTTCGAATATAAATTTTTTAAAAAGCAGAAATTTAAAAAAAACTATAACAGAAAATTGAAATGTTTTTTGAAATAATTTTGAATTTTAAAAGCTAACTTTTAAATTTGATTAATCATACATTTTGAATCTTAATTTTAATTAATAAATTTTAAATTTTTATTTCAAATATTAAATTTGCAATTTTTATTTCAATTATTAAATTTGTAATTTTAATTTCAATTATTAAGCTTTCAATTTTAATTGGTAAATTTTCGTATTTAATAATTATTGAATTTTTTATTTTAGTTTTAAAAAATACATGTTTTATTTCAATTAATGGATTTTTAATTATAATTGATAAATTTTGAATTTTAAGAAATGGATTTTCAAATTTAATTATTTTAAATAGTACATACGTTTTCAATTATAATTAATAAGTTCTCTGTTTTAATTAATGGATATTCAATTTTAATTTCAATTTTTCAATTTTAATTTCAATTGTTAAGTTGTCAATTATAATTACAATTATTAAATTTTCAATTTTAATTAATGAATTTTCAATTTTAATTCATGCATTTTCAATTTTAATTTTAAAAAGTAAATTTTTTATTTCAATTCATGGATTTTTAATTATAATTGATATATTTTCTATTTTAATTAATGAATTTTCTGTTTTCATTTTAACTAATAAATTTTTTTGTTTAAGTTTCAATTATTATATTTTCAATTTTAATTTTTACTATTAAATTTTCATTGATAAATTTTTAACTTTAATTAATGATTTTTCAATTTTAATTCATGCATTTTCAATTATAATTGATAAATTTCATACTTTAGTTAATGGATTTTCTGTTTTCATTTTAAATAATAAATTTTTACTTTAAATTTTAATTAATAAATATTCAATTTTAATTTTAAATAATAAATTTTCAATTTTAATTTGAATTATTAAATTTTTTAATATTAATTTGAATCATTAAACTTTTTAATTTTAATTATTAAACTTTCAATTTTAATTTCAATTATTAAATTTTCAATTTTATTTTCAATTAAATTTCAATTATTAAATTTTCAATTTTATTTTCAATTAAATTTTCAATTTTATTTTCAATTAAATTTTCAATTTTAATTGATAAATTTTTAATTTTCTTTAATGAATTTTCAATTTTAATTCATGCATTTGCAATTTTAATTTTAAATAGAATAAATTTTTTATTTCAATTAATAGATTTTCAATTATAATTGATACTTTTTGAATTTTAAGAAATGGATTGTTAAAATTTAATTTTTTTAAATAATTGAATTAAAATTGATAAATTTTCTATTTTAAATAATGGATTTTCATTTTTTTTATTTTAAGCCTAATAAATTTCTATTTTGAATTTTAATTAATAAATTTTTAATCTTTATTAATAATTTAAAATATTTCAATTTAAAATTTGTCGTTTTTCAAATAGAAGCGAATTAAAATGTTGTTCTTTTTTCTTTTAAAAAATACCAAAAATAATTAAATTGAACGTTAGGTAAAATGTCTTTTCAAGTTTTCAAAGAAACGGGTTTTTTTTAAATAATCTATTTTAAAATACAGAAAATTTTTATTTACGATTTTGAGGTTATGTATTCAAGTTTCTTTTTCTTTTGGAAAAATGAAACCTATTGCATTAGGTAAAAATGTCTTTTTAATTTTTCAAAGAAACTTTTTTTTTGTCAATTGTTTTTTTTTAAATAATTGTTGAAGGTAGAGGGAGGGAGAGAAAGAGAGAAAGAGAGAGAGTATAGATTGCAGAAAAATATGAGAGTTTACGGGAAAATTTCTCAGGAGGTAAACAAAAATTGCCAAACAATTGAACATTGTGAATTTTGCGATCATTTGAAGAGACCTCGTCAGTTTCCTTTCTTGTCCTTTTCTACATGTTTTCTCTCTCACTCTCCCTCGTTCTCTCTCTCTCTCTCTCGTTTTGGACAATATTCCCTTTCGCGTTTATTTTCTGCCTTTCTCTCTCGTGAGAGTACAATGCACAATTCCCTGCGTTCTCTCTCTCTATCTTTTTCTCTTTTCTCTCGGTCGGCACTCGATTGCCTTTCGTTGGCGCTGTCTACCTTCCGCTCGGTCTGACAACCCGATTCCCCAACCGGGCGACGGGCTTCGTTGCTCTTACCAACTGCTGCCTTGTTTCACGTTACTTTTTGAATCGCTCGCTCGCTCTTCGTTGGCCATATAATTCACAGTCCTCACAGTCTCTCTCTCAGCTTGTGTGTCCGCCATGTTTTTTCCTCTCTCCCACTGTAGTTGTACACACAGTACCACA